CTCAACAAAGGCTTCACACCAGCCGGACTCTATTGATGCTCACAGAAACACGAAATGATGCTCTTATTTATAGATGTAATATTGTATTTAAAGGCTTTCTGATGTAGATCACAAGCTGCTGGTTCTGAGCTCTGTGGTTTTCAAATACATCAGAGACATTATGGGTCAAATAAAGTACAGTAGACTGAACGGAAATATAAACGCAGCACTTCTGTTTTTGCTCCCATTTTTCACGAGCTGAAATCAAAGATGTAAGACTTTTTTCTTTTAACAAAAAAGGACAATTCCTCTCAAATATTGTTCACAAAATGGTCTAAATCTGTGTTAGTGAGCACTTCTGCTCCACCTCACAGGTGTGGCATATCAAGATGGTGATTAGACGTCATGATTATTGTAAAGGTATGCCTTAGGCTGGCCACCATAAAAAGGCCACGCTAAAAAGTGCAGTTTAATCTAGAAAAGAGACATTTATTACTGTAGTGCAACACATCTCCTTCGCATTGAGTTGTTTAGGATATATGCAGACCCACCTCAAGTCCTGGGGCGACAGAGCCTTCTCCGTTGCTGCCTGCACCCACCCTCTGGAACTCACTACCCCAATCCATCACTCTTCCTCCCTCACCGCATTCAAAACATCCCTCAAACCCTCAAACCCACCTGTTCAACACTGCATTCAACCACTGACCCCCCCCCCCCCCCCCCCTATTTTCTGTTTCTCTTTCTGCATTTTATTCTCTGTCAAAGCGACTTTGAGTGTTTAGAAAAGCGCTATACAAGTCTCATGTATTATTAGCACAGCTTAATTTCTAGTTTTGTAATGATCAACTGCACTGATCAATACATGTACAACTTACTTATTGGCTTGTTTACATTTTGTTCGGCCTTGACCGTGTTGTCCTTGTGTTTCTATGGTAATGTTGTATTGTTTACTTTATATATGAAAAGGTTTAGCTTGTATCGTCAAAATGATACTTGTCGTGGCTTCCTTCCTTGTCTTTCCATCGAGCCTCGAGACGCCTCAGACAGTTCCAACTCGTTTCTCTCCTTACATTACTCAGTTTGAAGTGTTGCTTGGCCTCCGATGGTTTAGAAGATGTTGCGATGTGTTTACTTTGCTCAAAATAAAAATAACAAGCAATGCAAAGAAAATAGGCCTTTACAATATTCAAAAGAAATAGGCAAAACTCAAATAAAACAACTTAGGTATTCTTTCTTGATAATGCTTATATAACTTCGTAACTTAAAGGACTTGTACGATTTGTATGTACGGTTAAAAACTGTTCCTCGCCGGCGTCTCAACAGGTTGCCCATCACTGTGGCTTCAGCCCAGGTGCCGTGGGAATTGTTGTCCTTTATAGTGCGTTGACTACAGACGTCACCATCAGGTGGCCTTTCTTATCAAATCTAAATACTGGCTCTAACAATACGGTCTGTTATGTGTGATTGCACCATCGGGAATGCTTCGCTGTACTCCGTGTAGTGACGATAAAGGAATCTAATAAATGGGAGAAAGGACAGAATTGCATACAACCATTTATTTTTTTGTGAACATTGGGACATGGGAGGAGTGTGTGGGAGAGAAACGTATCCTTTGCAGACCATTTACATGCACACAAAGTTATATAACACAGGAAAGGGAAGCTCCCAATAAGCATGATCGTGCCCCTTTAAAAAATGATTAAAATATGTATGCATACGTTTTATTTTATTATAATAGTCCATCCTCCTGGTGTAATGTAGCATCAGGAAACCAGGTCTCAAACTGCACGGATACTCCCACTTTCCCAGATTAGATCTGCCATTGAAACAAAGTAACTTTTACATTACATTGCATTTAGCTGACGCTTTTATCCAAAGCGACTTACAATAAGTACATTCGACCAGGAAGATACAACCTTGAAGAAAACAGAATCATATAAGTACATCAGGTTTCATAGAGCCAAACATTTCAAGTGCTACTCAACTGGCTTTAGGTAAGCCAGTCCTTTATTAGTATACAAGTGCTTTGTTAATAGTTCTAACGCTTGAAGTGGAGTCGACTTCACACATCAATTGGTTCCAAAGAAACAATGACTCTGTAGAAACTTTTTTTGAAAGATGTCGCTGGTTCACTTCAGCCGTTTCTAATATGACTTCCTTATTGGACGGGACAGAGTACACATATTCAGGTTTTACAACAGTTGGTTGTTTGTTGCAAGATATTCGGAGAAAGTGTTGTTCCCGTCTTGCTAAGATTTCGATGTTTGTTTAAATGTGTTTGAGCTAGGGTCTATGAACTGAGATCTGGTCACATTTAGACATTCGGAGGACGTTTTGTCCGCAAACACACAATGACTGCAGAGACTAATGCAAGCTATTGTATTAGATAGAAAACGACTACAAAGAGTCACCCTACGACCACGAAGAGACAGCCTGAATACTAAGGGACACAAATCCACACAAACAAAACAAGACTAGAACAGGACCAGAAAGAGACACGAAACGACCTTAAGACTCAAAACGACCTTAAAGAGACAGACAATGACTTCAAAGACACACTAAAGAAACATAAAATACACAAAATGGCCTCAAAGAGACACAATTAATTAAAAGAGATACACAAGTAACATTAAAAGACACAAAAGGACCAGAAAGAGACACGAAACAACCTTAAAAAGACACAAAAAAGGCACAAAATGACTTCAAAGACACTAGAGACAGACAATGACTTCAAAGACACTATGAAGAGACAGACAATGACTTCAAAGACACTATGAAGAGACAGACAATGACTACAAAGACACTATGAAGAGACAGACAATGACTTCAAAGACACTATGAAGAGACAGACAATGACTTCAAAGACACTATGAAGAGACAGACAATGACTTCAAAGACACTATGAAGAGACAGACAATGACTTCAAAGACACTATGAAGAGACAGACAATGACTTCAAAGACACTATGAAGAGACAGACAATGACTTCAAAGACACTATGAAGAGACAGACAATGACTACAAAGACACTATGAAGAGACAGACAATGACTACAAAGACACTATGAAGAGACAGACAATGACTACAAAGACACTATGAAGAGACAGACAATGACTTCAAAGACACTATGAAGAGACAGACAATGACTTCAAAGACACTATGAAGAGACAGACAATGACTTCAAAGACACTATGAAGAGACAGACAATGACTTCAAAGACACTATGAAGAGACAGACAATGACTTCAAAGACACTATGAGAGACAGACAATGACTTCAAAGACACTATGAAGAGACAGACAATGACTTCAAAGACACTATGAAGAGAACAGACAATGACTTCAAAGAACACTATGAAGAGACAGACAATGACTTCAAAGACACTATGAGAGACAGACAATGACTTCAAAGACACTAGAGACAGACAATGACTTCAAAGACACTATGAAGAGACAGACAATGACTTCAAAGACACTATGAAGAGACAGACAATGACTTCAAAGACACTATGAAGAGACAGACAATGACTTCAAAGACACTATGAAGAGACAGACAATGACTTCAAAGACACTATGAAGAGACAGACAATGACTTCAAAGACACTATGAAGAGACAGACAATGACTTCAAAAGACACTATGAAGAGACAGACAATGACTTCAAAGACACTATGAAGAGACAGACAATGACTTCAAAGACACTATGAAGAGACAGACATGACTTCAAAGACACTATGAAGAGACAGACAATGACTTCAAAGACACTATGAAGAGACAGACAATGACTTCAAAGACACTAGAGACAGACAATGACTTCAAAGACACTATGAGAGACATGACTTCAAAGACACTATGAAGAGACAGACAATGACTTCAAAGACACTATGAAGAGACAGACAATGACTTCAAAGACACTATGAAGAGACAGACAATGACTTCAAAGACACTATGAAGAGACAGACAATGACTTCAAAGACACTATGAAGAGACAGACAATGACTTCAAAGACACTATGAAGAGACAGACAATGACTTCAAAGACACTAGAGACAGACAATGACTTCAAAGACACTATGAAGAGACAGACAATGACTTCAAAGACACTATGAAGAGACAGACAATGACTTCAAAGACACTATGAAGAGACAGACAATGACTTCAAAGACACTATGAAGAGACAGACAATGACTTCAAAGACACTATGAAGAGACAGACAATGACTTCAAAGACACTATGAAGAGACAGACAATGACTTCAAAGACACTATGAAGAGACAGACAATGACTTCAAAGACACTATGAAGAGACAGACAATGACTTCAAAGACACTATGAAGAGACAGACAATGACTTCAAAGACACTATGAAGAGACAGACAATGACTTCAAAGACACTAGAGACAGACAATGACTTCAAAGACACTATGAAGAGACAGACAATGACTACAAAGACACTATGAAGAGACAGACAATGACTACAAAGACACTATGAAGAGACAGACAATGACTTCAAAGACACTATGAAGAGACAGACAATGACTTCAAAGACACTATGAAGAGACAGACAATGACTTCAAAGACACTATGAAGAGACAGACAATGACTTCAAAGACACTATGAAGAGACAGACAATGACTTCAAAGACACTATGAAGAGACAGACAATGACTTCAAAGACACTATGAAGAGACAGACAATGACTTCAAAGACACTATGAAGAGACAGACAATGACTTCAAAGACACTATGAAGAGACAGACAATGACTTCAAAGACACTATGAAGAGACAGACAATGACTTCAAAGACACTATGAAGAGACAGACAATGACTTCAAAGACACTATGAAGAGACAGACAATGACTACAAAGACACTATGAAGAGACAGACAATGACTTCAAAGACACTATGAAGAGACAGACAATGACTACAAAGACACTATGAAGAGACAGACAATGACTTCAAAGACACTATGAAGAGACAGACAATGACTACAAAGAGACACTAAAGAACAATGAAAGACACGAGACAAGAGAAGTTGTATTGATCCTTTATTAAATCTTGAAAGAAGTCATCTACAGTGGTTTTGACGCCAACGAACAAGTCACTTATAAATCTGACCGGAGTCAGAGACAGCAGTACTGTAGATGGAACATATCCTGGACAGACGCATAAAGCAGAGGCAAGACGCCACAAACGAGCATTAAATTAACTTAGTAGAAACTTGTGAAAATGTTTTTCCTCCTTATTAATATTCAAACACAACATTCAGTACACCTCGGGTTGTGTGGCAGCGAGGTTTGAAAGGATCTCTCTGAACACTGAGGAAGAGATTTCTTTAAAGGCAGATGCTCCACACACAACAGATAAATATAGACCGCGACATGGACTCACTTCACCCTCAAATACATGATGAGTGTGGAATGATGAAGACGCACTCAACCTACACGCGTTAAATAAAAGGCTTTCAAGCTGGAGCCGAGCATCCTTTAAAACCTCGCCTGTGTGCTGTTTCAATCCGTATTTATAAAGTGTGTGTGTGTGTGTGTGCAGTTTGGGGGATTGGACGAAGGTTTGGACGCCAAATCAGGCGCTTCTGCAGAGGGACATCGATCCTAGCCCACCTGAAGATTCAAGGTTACGGGCCAGGACGTCACAAACAGCCCCAACACACACATATCGAGTGTGTGTGTGTTGGGGCTCCTCTGAGAAGGACTGTTGGAGCCCAGGAGAAATCAGCAGAGTAACCCCGCTGTTCAGCAGGCTGCAGTCTCATGTAATTCAGACTCATTTCACACTCCTCTCGCTCCGGGATGGACGCTGGTTTGTCCCGATGCTCAGCGGCTCTTTGAAGGGAGCGTCTGAGGGGAGGGAGATGAGAGAGTGGGGTGTTTTGGGGAGTCTAACATGAGCGCAGCCCGCTAAACGAGCAGGGTTTAACCTCAGCAGCCGGACGCGGTGATTTCTCCACCCGAGCTCTTCGTCACCTCCAGAGTGGTGAAGATCTGGAGGAGGAAGAGGAGGAGAAACACAACGTGAGGAAGAGCAGGATATCAATAATTCATTCATTACAAATGTATTTATATAGCACCGTGCAACACAAGGCAATTCAAAGTGCTTTACAAAAATGGAAGACTTTAAGAAAATGGCATTTAAAAAGCAACGATGATAAAATAAACATAAGAAAAAATACGTGAATAAAAGTTACAGTAGAGCGCTTTTCCAAGTGCTCAAAGCGCTCTACATATTAGACAATACCCACAGGGGCAAATTCATGGCTGTATAATAAGAACTGGATACAGCGTGGTGGGAGGCGGGGTCTCGTTCCTATGAGAGCTGCTCATTGGCGCACAAAGGCAAAATGGCCCAACTTTTGAGAGAGTGAAACGTCACAGATTACCCAGCATGCCTGAGAAGTACCCGTATGTGCGCTCATAGCAGGCGCAACTTTAACCACGCCCCCCCCAAAGGCTCGTTCACATCAAGCCGTCCCGTGGGTCAGATGCGCGTTCATAATGCCGAGGAAAATAACTCAGAATAACGTTATTAGCACATTTTACAACTTGAGGACCGAATGTTTTTAACAAGGGCTATAAAAAAAAATTCTGTATTTTCCTCAAAATCTCAAAAATCTGAATTTTTCTATAAAAAAAAATCTGTATTTTTCTCAAATATCTGTGTTTTTCTGAAAATTGTCTTTTTCTCAATTTCTAAATGTCTTTTTCTCAATTCTGACTTTTTCCTCAAAATAAAAAACTTTAAAAAAAAACTCAAAATCCTGTATTTTTTCCAAATTCTGTATTTTTCAAAAGATCCTGCATTTTTCTCAAAAACGAATCTGACTTTTTGTTTTTAATAAGGGCGATGCAAATGTTCATACTGGGTAGTTCATTTGGTTAAAAAAAAATTATCCAGCGATTTACAGACATCTCTTTCCCAATGTTAGTCAATGGGGAAAAGTGTTTCTGGGCCCAGTGACGTCACGGACTGATACGGAAGTGTAGTACCACCGTTTGGCCACTACGAATTGTGGGAGCAGAGTCCGGAGCACTTCCTGGGGGCTTGAGCAAATTATGGTGGCCATCATTTAAGACTCAAAGCTTTATTGTCACGTGCACAGCTACAGTGTAGATATGGCAATGACAAACTTAAGTCCTAGGCTCCTCCAACAATCCCAAATCATCACCATCGAATTGAGATATGACAAATAAGGAAGAAAATGAAAATAGAAATCTACTTTGCAACACTTTAGAGCTTCTGATTGGACATCACGGTCCGCTGTTTAAAACTATAGTCTCTTAATGGATTATTAAACTAAGACGTGGGCACAGTCTACATTAACAGCGTCCTGCATTCATTCAAGATAAAGATCTGAATTCTGTTTGTAAATGGAAATGAGAGAAATGGGAAACATCAAACAGGAGACGATTAAGAGCTTAATGAGCTGCAATTATCACCAAACACCATTTACATAATGAAGGAGGAACAGGGAGATCTTTACCGGCATGCATCACACATTACGAGTTCATTCAGCTCACTATCTGCATAAACACTCAACATGACAAATACAGACATTATAAAGAGATGCCTCCTCCTCACCTCGGCGCAGGTTGGGTGGATGCCGATGGTGTTGTCCAGCTGTTCTTTAGTGGCTCCACACTTCATGGCCGTACCGAAGCCCTGCGTCACCTCTCCGGCGTTCGGACCCAGGTAGTGGAAGCCAATGACACGGTCCTAAAAACGAGACATGTGTTAGTCATGTGACTCTCCGACAGGTTGATTCAGACCGAGTGACAGCAGGGAGGAGCTCACGTTGTCCAGCTTGTTGCAGATGATCTTAGCGTAGCACTTGTTGTTGTCTCTGTTGGGCACGGTGAACTCCAGAGGCCAGAACAGACTGTGGAACACCTGGAGACACACGAGAGAGCCAGTGAGCAACAAAGCTGCATTATTACCATCACTACCATTGATTATCACAACCCGGGCCCTGAGGTCCTCTGAGCAAGGCCTCCTAAGGGTGCCCCGAACAAGGCTAAAGGGTGTCCGTGCCTTTGAGGCGGTGGCCCCAAGGCTTTGGAACAAACTCCCCCAGATAATAAAAACCTCGGCCTCAACAGAGATTTTTAAGAGTCAGTTAAAGACACACCTGTTCCGACAGGCCTTTGGGTCGTCGGAGGAGGTGAGTTAGTGGCTGTCTTTTTTATTGGTGTTTTGTCGTATGTTTTATCCTAAGTATTACCTGCTGCTGTTTTATGCCTTTTATTCTACATTTTATAGTTGTACTTTGAATTGTGTCCTGTGTACTGTAAAGAACTTTGTACATCCGTTAAAGTTTTACTTACTTACTTATAGCATTCTGGCTTTTTCTCAAATTATGACTTTCTCAAAACCTGAAATTGGACTTTTTTCTCAAAATCCTGTATTTTTCTCATTTTTGAAACTTTTCTCAAAATTCTCACTTTTTCCTCAAAACTTTAAAATTCTGAATTTCTCAAAATTCTGTATTTTTCTCTATTTTTCTCAACTTTTTCTCAAAATTCTATCTTTTTCCTCAAAACCTTAAAATTTGGACTATTTTTAAAAATTCTGTATTTTTCTCAAAAAAATCTGTATTTTCCTCAAAATCCTGTATTTTTCTCACAAATCTGTATTTTTCTCAGAAATCCTGACATTTTCTCAAAATCCTGACATTTTCTGAATACTTTTTATTCATAATCACTCGTCACCGGCTTGAGCTTCAATATCAGGATCCACGCAGACGGGTTTAAATCAGGGGTGTCCAAACGTTTTTCACCGAGGGCCACAAACAGATCAATATAAGAAGGGCTGGGCCCCTGATAGAGGTGAGGTGTAGTGCCTCATATGCTAAGTTATAAGATAGCTAAGTCAATCAAATGTAGGTAAATTAAGCTCGATACTTGAATATGCTGTAAGAAACACAACAGCCTTCATCACAGCTCTCCAGAGGCTTTACTTTATTAAAACAGAGTCTTCAGATTGCTCATAAAATGATTTGTTATGCAAATAAGGGATCGGGCTTTTTATATCAACTAAGATTACTTTGAAAATGTTTCCAACTTTAATTGATTTGAAAAGTGGGCACGCATGAATACTGTGATATATATTTGTTTATAAAACGGACAAGGCAAATCAAGCAATCTGATTGGTTCTTAGCCGTGATATAATGAGCATATATCACGGGTAGAATTGTAGTTACTTTCCACAACAAGTCAGTATCCCTCCGCGTCTGAGAAAGGCTACAACCGTTACATTACGAAACTAACCATCTACCAAAGCTTAAGATGGAAACATTTAAGGTTAACTTCGAACTCCGGGGGGCCTTACTGTGGAGGAGTGGATTGAGCAGTGCCTATCTCCAGAAAGAAAGCACCTAAACGACGACATGCAGAGCAGATGGACCAACTGGAGAAGTACCATCAAAAGCTTTCTGATGCGGGTCTTGAAAGCAGAGAGATGATGAGCGTTAGTGGCCACAGGTGCGAAAGCTCTCTCCAGAGCTGCTGGAAGCCTAATCTCGGGGACCGGAGAAAGTGGAGCAATATTCTCGCCACGCCAAGAAACAGCCTAGAACAACCTCAACAAGTAAGCCATTCTACTCGTCGGGCCGAACCACGCCCCTTAGCTGTGATATAATGACCATATACCACGGCCTGTCGTGAGCTATTGCTTAAATGTATATATATTATTAGTACAACATATGACAAGCACACGTTTAATATGTGGGCCATATTTCATTAAACTAGTTGAATTAGCTGAGGGCCGTTTCAAAATGGGCCGTGGGCCATAGTTTGGACTAGTGTTAATTTCGTTGACTAAAACTATGACGAAATATGTTCGTCAACGACCTTTTTTTCCATGACGAAAACGAGACGATGACGAGACCGCACCGACGGCAGTAAACAATAACTGTAACGAAATCATCATGCAATATCGTTGACGAAAAGTGACGAGACGAAAATGTAGTTTACTAAATAAAAACTATGCCAAAATCTCTCTTTACTTTCGTTGACGAAAAATGAGGAGACGAAGTATTATCAAAGATAACGTTACATCTCTGATAGGCAGTTTTTCTCCCAACAGTTCCATTTCCGGTGCTGCGGCCGGGCAGCAGCTGTGTGTCCGTGCTGCGGCAGGGCAGCAGCTGTGTGTCTGCGGTGCGCGCGGCGGTACATTTGAATTACACCGGGCAGCGGCACAATATGAACTGTCAGGAAGACTCGGGTCTAACTCAGGGTCTAACTCATGGTCTAACTCATGGTCTAACTCATGGTCTAACTCATGGTCTAACTCATGGTCTAACTCATGGTCTAACTAACCTTATTTAACAGAAAATGAAATGGCAACAGCAGGGCTTGGGAGCAGTGGTCGCACTCGCGTTAAGCGAATCCCCCCCGTCAGCGCGAGTGAGTGATAAATTGTGCACTCGACGGGTAATAATGGATTATGACGGAAATGTTACGATCCTGTCCGTCAAAATGACTGACAACGAAAAAGTCTTAAGCCACCACTGCTTGGGAGAAAGAAACGATGTGATATTTGGGCCCATTGTCGCTACAATGAGGCGGAGAAAAAAAGCGAATGCATTGTTTCATCAGAAGGGAAGCAATGTGGCCAAAACACAAAAACACCACAAACCTGAGCAGATACTCTCTGCAAAGCTGCTTCATCATTCAACCTGTGTTTCATCAAATAAGGACAAGATATAATCTTATTTATTTATATATAATAAAATGATAAATTATTGGTTTTGGCTAGACTAGTTTGACTGAAATGTTCTATATAATCTGATGACTAAAATAGACTCAACAGTTTTCATTGACAAAAAGTAGACTAAAATAATTAGTTTTCTTTGACTAAAATGAGACTAAAATGCTCAGACTTTTAGTCGACTAAATCTTGACTAAATAAAAACAGGATGAAGGTGACTAAATATGACTGAAACTAAAAAGGAAATGTAACACAGGACTAAAACTAAATAAAAAAATAGCTGAGGAAATTAACACTAGTTTGGACACCCCTATTTTAAAGGCGTATTAATAATGACATGTTAATAGCATAAGGGCGAATCATTGCTTATTTAGCCTGAGGCAATTAAATCCATCATTGTGGTTTTACTGCACACATCACCTCCGGCACATGGTGTGGTTTGTTTGTAATTAGCCCACCTGTTGTTTGCCAGTCATTAGTCTGACAGAGGGTGAGCTCGGACATTTCCCGTTGACCGCCGTTTGGTTCTCTTTATGGCTTGTTTATGAGGGTCATTAAACATGGTTAAGCTAGAACTTCAGCACGGACTCTTTGAATTGAACCGTGTCAAAGTACCGTAGCCTCTAGCGACAGCTCATTGGGAGTGTTGTCGCTATAAGTATTTAAGAAGGGACGATTACGTACACGTGCCAGATTTATCCATAGAAGCACATCTGCAGTCTTTGCAGGTGGAGGACATTGAAAGGAAACACGTGAGCACAGATTGAAAGTGTCCACATGGCAGTTCTCTGTGGAGACGATATCTCTACACACACACACACACACACACACACACACACACACACACACACACACACACACACACACACACACACACACACACACACACACACACACACACACACACACACACACACACACACACACACACACACACACACACACACACACACACACACACACACACACACACACACACACACACACACACACACACACACACACACACACACACACACACACACACACACACACACACTGAAATCCCATTTGTTGTTATTTCTTGTAAAAGTAATTTATTTCTGATTGTTTTGTAAAAAAACAAAAAGCAAACACATGAACAAGACAAACATGTCGCTGAACTATCTAAACCCTCAGAGTCCTTTACCTCACTGAGCTGTAGTTATCAGCCTCTCAGTCTGACTGGAGAGGACTCTCCCTTCACATCATTGTAGAAACATCTTCTTCTTATCTCCGTTAGAGCAGCTAGCACGGCACCAGATTATAACAACAGCGCTGGTACCACCCTCCCTCTCTCCCTCGCTCACTCGCATTTTGTCTGTGAGCTGCGGGCGCCAGATAAGCCAACATCCCCCATTTTCATCACTTACAGCGCCCATCGTACAGGGCAAATGAAAGGTGTAACCGGGGTGAAAAGGGTGTTAAATGTACTTAATTATGAATGTTGTTACATCAAGGCCGAAAATTAGGATGAGCCCCAACGGTCAACATGTTTTTTTCCCTCCCAGAACTGCCAGCGCAGCGCCTCCACAGATCTGGCGCCCTAGGCGAACATCTAGCCAGCGCTACGGGCCGGCCCTCAGTTCATATCATGGTTCATATGCAACTCGCAAATATCTTTCTCTCTCTCTCTCTCTCTTCTTTCTCTCTCCTCTCTCCTCTATTTTCTCTTCTCCCTTCTCTCTCTCTCTCAATGTTGGTACGCAAATGCACTTTGTTTCAAATGACCCGGTGCTCTTTTTTGCGCACCTCCGCACCAGTTATGTGCAGCCCTGCTTATATCGTCCAAAACACAGAAGATAACAACAAAGTCGTAAATCGAGGTGGCGCTAATATCAGCCGCGGGTGTCGGAAAGTCGGGTCATCTGTGACGTCTTCTGGAAAGAGTCACGTACTTCCTTCACGCTTCATAGAAATGAGATATTTAGGAGACAGCAAGTCTGTCTTCTCATAAATAACAACCACATGAAACGCCCTGCCTCCTCCTATCAAGAAGAGGCAGCTGCAAGGTCATACACAGTTCAGAGCCACACATGATATCAGTGCATTAAAGCAACCCAAAGAGTGGAGAAAACAGTATTTCTCCAACACCGTGCATTTCCCAAAACTAACATCCAGCCACCAGGGGGCGCTCTACATGTCCCTGCTTCTCCTTTGTAGAGCCGTCATAAACTTAAAAGGAGCAAAAGCCAAAGAGCAAGGCGACCTATACTGATCATCATTCATTGTTTGGAGGCATTTTAGTTTATCGTCTTATTTCAATACAATATATGAATGTAGCAAAACATGTGAAATCAGCAACGATTACTCAAATGAAAAAGTGCAATAAAATAGTTCCCCCCAGAAAAAAACATGAATAGTGGTTTTGGTTTGATTTGATGGTTAAATGAAAGCACCGAAGGTCAGCTATAGATGAGAAATTATTTCCACTTTCCAATGAAAACAAAGACTTGGCAGCAGCAGGAAATAGAGTTCATCATGCCTTAAGGCTGCGGTGTCGTGTCTCGCAAATCAAACAATGTTTCTAGCTAAATCTACCGCTTGCTTTGATGTTTGGGAACTCAAGTTACAGAAGTAAAACTCCACATTTGATCACTTGGAAATGCACTTTACCCTAGGTGACAAGATTCACCCTCCAGAGCGATAATACATTATTCAGTGGACTGTGTGTGTGTGTGTGTGTGTGTGTGTGTGTGTGTTACCTCGAGGTTCTCCTGGCCATAGAGCTCGATGGCTCTATCCTCAGACAGCCCGCAGCAGCCGTACTCCAGCGGGGTGAAGACAGTAGTCGGGACGTTGATGTAATCACACTGCACAAAAACACACAATAAGTAATGAAATAAAGCCTCTGTGTGGCGCGGCTGCGTTCACACCGGACGCGATGCGAATATACGCTTCGCTCTAATCGCTCGAGTATCACCGCGGCTGCCAACTGTGTTTACTCGCATCATTCAAACAGGAAGCGACTGTTATTTTGTTGAGCTTGTATTTATGTCTTAATGTGTGCATATGTATAAATGTGTCTGTCGAGTGTGTATAAATCATTTGTATTCGGGACCGTGGGAAATGGACATTTCGATCTGTCTGTCACACAAACTGAAAGATTGACAATAAAGTAAACTTTTGGAGGATGCTCTGGCGAGGAGGCGGGGCTTATCTCCATGTAGATACTATGGCAGATACCAACTACAACCAAATGAACATATTTCACCGTGATTTAATTGTTAATACACGTTTCAAAATGATGCCAAAGTAACGACATACTGAATGGCTGAGATCCTCACCGCTGATTGGTTAACGCGCAAACATTTTAATCTCGGCGCCCATAAATCTCATCGTGTCCGGTGTGAACGCACCCTAAGAGTCTCTTTAAAGGCGATGTACCTTGAGCTTCCCCCCCCCGTAGAGGCGTCTGGCCAGCAGTCTTCCGGCCTGGATGGCGACCGGCGTCAGCTCCCACTTCCCCTCCAGGATGTCTCCGACGGCGTAGATGTGAGGAACGTTGGTCTGCTCCTCGTCGCTCACCGGGACCTTTCCTGTCCTGAAGGATCGTGGGAGGGGAAGAGGTCAGGGAGTTTGGGAACATTACACACTTCATATTGGATGTCATGCCATAGCGGTGAAATGACGTTTATTTTTGCACGATTCAATAACAAGGTGTCTGTGTTTAAAAGCATTACTTTGCTTTCGCCAGGGAAAAGAACGTTTGGGGCTCTCTGCTGGAACTGCTACCCCCGCGACCCGACCACGGATAAGGGGGAGTAGATGGATGGATTACTTTAATCATACATCTGTTTTTATTATATCTCACCTATTTTAAACTATTGTTTTGACTATTGAAATTAATAATTTGGGGCCATTTAGTTGGTGTTTAGCTTGTAAATGTTTCTGTATAACACTTAATAATAATCCTTATATTTATTATAGCGCTTTATCAAAGACTCTCAAAGCGCTTTACAAATACACATTACACATACAGATCATACATGTAATGGTCATCTACTGTGGACAATACCCACAGGAGCAAATTCGAGTGTCTTGCCCAAGGACACAACGGCCTGACGCAGTGGGGCGGGAGCGGGTTTCGAACTGGAGTTCCCCAACGCCCCCTTGATCTGATGATCAAACGCACAGACCACTGCGCCACCCGTCCCCAATAAACTTGAACTCTCCTATTCTTGATGTTAATACCATGTATTTAAAGACTTTCTGTTCACCGTCTGGGCCCCTATTCTTCAGTTGGCTTATAGAGAGGCGAAGTCCCTCCCCTTCCGGTGGACCTCCATGGGACCTTATTTCGGAAAAAGTATGTATTCAAGTCGATGGCGAGTGAAAGATTATCTTCCGATCCCGTTTGAATTGTGCCACGAATTACACATATGATGTTTGTCAATTGAAAAGATAATTTTGCAAGTCAACATTTTTTAAATGTGTCGTAAAACTGTGAAGTAACAACATTTTGTGTGTGAAACCGCTCAATGAACTACATCTCCCGTCTCGCACCACACACCAAGACAATTCACTTCTTTCTTTCAGGATGAGGCGAAAAGTATTCAAAGAGGTGAAAATCACTACAGGTCTGGGCACGTTGAGAGCTGCACAAACACACAAGGGGAGTGAGTCGGTTCCGTGAGAGCCAGCATGCGGGACCGGCTATACAAGGTTTCGGTGAGTAACACGAGTGTAATGTGTATTGTTAATGACATCACCTATGCGACTCTGGGATTTGTAGTCTTTCTAGTTGCGTATTTTTCATAGTCTTATATTTAAACAAAGATCTGAGTACTTCCACTTTTACTCAAGTACAAGACCTGAGTAGCCTACTTCTACTATTACTCAAGTACAAGATCTGAGTACTTCTACTTTTACTCAAGTACAAGATCTGAGTACTTCTACTTTTACTCAAGCACAAGATCTGAGTACTTCTACTTTTACTCAAGTACAAGATCTGAGTACTTCTACTTTTACTCAAGTACAAGATCTGAGTACTTCTACTTTTACTCAAGTACAAGATCTATACTTATACCACCTCCGTTTATAGCCTATGAAAAAAACTATTAGAAAACGAAGGCTAAAGCTAACGTTAGCAGATAGTGACAATGTATGCTAGCTAGCTAGCTAGCTCAACGATAATATTGCGACAGAAAGACTTTTCAGCACATCACGCTCTGCCGCTCCGACAGGGAGCTCTGCTCTGAACACCTGAACGGCCCGTTCTAACAGCTGTTCACCAGCGGTCCAGTCTGTGCCACAGTGACTCAGGACCACAGTTAATATTAACGAACGCACCCGTAGGTAATGTGGCTGCTGAAGCTAGACCATCATCGCGGCCGCAGATTACTCCGGGTCCCAGACCCCCCGCATACCCCAAAAATATTTTTATTGCAGATCTACATGAATCACACACACGCCCTATTTTGGATTCAAAACGGCAAATTTCGCCAAAATGTGACAAGTTTGCATCCCTGAATAAAGGACTTCTGGAATCAAATGAATTCTCCCCCACTGAGTCTCAGATACTACGAGGGTCATGAGACCGGCTCCATGTGACCGAGCGCTCTTTGAAGCCGGCCTCATGCCGTCTTAATCCTCACAGAATGAACCATTCACAAAAAAGTGCAGAACCAACACTAACCCTTAAAGATAGAAGCTTCATTTCCCATGCTTCTAATGTTGGAATAAATACTAAAACGCATCAACAAGCGGCTTCATAAAATGTTCTTATGTGGGAAGACATGTCTCATTTTTCTACTTTTATTTTAATGCCATTTTCGAATGTTTATTTCTAGTCTTTTAATGTCTCTAATGAACAATGCCATGTTTTTTTAAGCTGCAGCAACGCAAACATTTCCCACAGTTGGATCACCAAAGTACTTCTCATCTCATGTCATCAACACATCCTGAGTCTAAGGATGTCTATACTACAACTATTCACATCTTACCCTGCGCTGTAACTTTCGGTACCTGTTATTCATGTTTTAATATATTTGCTTTGTTTCATGCTCTTAATGTCTTTCATTCTTGTAAAGCACTTTGAATTGCCTTGTGTTGAAAAGTGCTAAATAAATAAACTTGCAGCATAATGACCCTAGCATAGAAAGGTCTTGGAAAATAGATTTCACGGCCGTCAGAAGCAGCTGATACTCTGAACTCCCACTGCTCTGCTCTTTCCGTACCAAACCCCCCCACGCACTCACCCCCCCCTGCAGAGAGCCATGGGACGGCGATAAATGCTGAATCACCGTGACTCCACCACAAGTCTTAAAGGCACAGGACACCGCCTCGTGTAATGGGAGCGTAGGAAAGGAGATATAAAGTAGTAAACTCACTTGGGGTTGACTTTGACCCCCGTCTTGTCCAGGCCGATCTTGTCGGTGCAGGCGTCTCGGCCCACTGCGATCAACACCTGAGGAACAGACAGATGGGTTACAGTTGGAAAGAAACCCTTAGGATATAACTAGATATAAGGCCTACATATATCCTTGAAGCAAAACAGTTGAAACCCTGTGTGGCGGCTTGAATGGTCAGTGTGTAGTATACAAAAGGGATTCTATTAGAGCAGGGGTGCCCAACCAGTCGATCGCGGGGAGATTCCCAGTCGATCGCGAGATGTGTCTAAAAATAGAACAACAATATTCGGTTTTATCGTTAATGTCCTATAACATAATCTTCCTGTGCCAGAAAAATGCACTTGAACGCATCACAGCTTTGTGATTAGCCGGCGTGACCCCATGTGTGGGGGCGTGGCTGGTGGGCAGTGGGCAGTGCACTAGTTCGCTGATGTTGCCCGTGTCAACAGGAGTGACAGTCCGCACACACACAAGACCGCCATTATGGCAGAAGCAAAAAAAACCAAAATATATAATTTTCACTCCGAGTGGGAGGATGATTATTTTTGTATCTATTCCAATTCAAAGTCCATCTGTCTCATCTGCAATGCGAGCGTGGCTTTATCGAAGAAGAGTAATTTAGGAGCGGCATTTCAAAACAGTGCACAAACGCTACGAGACGGAATTCCCTCCTGATTCTGCCCTACGCTCCAAAAGGGGAGGGGCCTGAAAGGACAGCTAAATGCACAGCAGTCCATTTTCACCAGGCCCAACAACAAGAGCAAGGCTGCTACCAGAGCATCTTATCGTGTCAGTCACGTTCTTGCGAAACACATGAAGTCTTTCAAAGATGGCGAAGTTGTGAAAGAAGCATTCCTGGAGGCTGCCGACGCGCTTTTGGGGGACAGTAAAAATAACAGTAGCATTTCAACAGGTTTTTGATATAATAAAAACTCAAGTTAGATACCGTTATTAATCAGCTGTAAGTTTTAGTTTGTTTGAACTTATTCATTATAATTATTGTACAAAATGGTATAAGAATGCAAACTTAAATTGATTATAGTCTATTATCAATTCAGGTTAAGAAACTAGTGTTGCTTGCATCCTATTTTAAAAAGGCATTTATTTTTATAATCTACTAAAATGCAACAAAAAAAGGGTTTGATTCTATTAATGTTGTCTTTTTTATTGCATGTTGCAGCAGATTCCTGTGTAGCTTCAGATCTGAGTTGTCTGATTAGTAAGCCTCATTTATACTTTTGTAGCAACACTATTTTTATATAATGGCAAAGAAAGGGTTCAGAGTCTTTTCTTTTTTCCCTGTGTCATATGTGGCAGCACTGTTCAATGTTTCTTGAAAACATTACCCACTGTAGTGACGTGTGAATAAACTCCAACTCTGTATCAACAACACTGTTGTGTAACTTCAGTTAAATACTTGTATGTGTGTAGATTAGAAAGAGGTAAGATAAAGGATCTGCAGTATTTTATGAAGTATTAATCGTACAAAGGTCAGTTTTATTCAAGTAGAAGTGTGTATTTACCTGGTAGTAGGCTGTCAGTAATGGCTACGCCTCTATTTGGACTGGTAGATCTCGGCAGACTGGCAACTTTAAAAGTAGCTCTCGGTTCAAAAAAGGTTGGGCACCCCTGTATTAGAGGAAGTAGAATTGTATCTTCTAAAAGAGGACATATGTTCATTTTCAGGTACCTAATATAACAATCAATCTTGTTTGTTTGTTCACAGCATGTAAAGCGAACTTGGGTCCCTTGAAAGGCGCCATCAAAATGTAATCTATTATTATCATTATTAATAAAACACCGCAGTTTGTCATATATCCATTGTTCTACATTTTTTTGTATATTTAAATTTCGCGTAAATACTTTGTTTTCATTCTTTTAATCGTTTGTTTTTTTACACAATTGTTATATATTTGACCCTCTCTTCCTACCTATTTTCTTATGTTGTTTATGTTTGCACCATCATATACCAAACCAAATTCCTTGCATGTACATGGCAATGTAATAGCTAATTCATGCTTTTATATCTAGCTGACTAGACTACTGCAATGCACTATTCACTGGTCTCCCCAAGAAAGCTATTGGAAGACTCCAGCTCATTCAAAACTCTGCAGCTCGACTGACGAATACCAAAAGGAGGGAACACATTAGTCCTGTCTTAGCTACTCTACTCTGGCTTCCTGTAACTTCTAGAATTGATTTGAAGGTGCTTCTCCTCACATACAAAGCTCTAAATGGACAAGGACCCAGCTACATGGCTGACTCTCTAATGAACTACACACCCGCCAGAACACTGCGATCATCAGATGCAGGTCTATTAGAGGTCACCAGAAAGAGTCATAAGAAGATCGATGAAGCAGCCTTTGGAAACTACGCCCCAACAATATTAGGGAAGCCAATACGTTTTTAAAAGGCAGCTTAAAACCTATTTATTTACCAAAGCATTTTACTGACGTTACACTATTATACTGCACTATTTCTCTGTTTTATTCCCCATGTTTTTATGTTTAATTATTTTACCCCACTTTATGCTTTGCTCTTGCTGATTTGATGTCTCATTTCTTACTGATGTAAAGCACTTTGAACTGCAATGCCCTGTGTGAAAGCTGCTATACAAATAAAGTTATTATTATTAATGAACTCGATTCTGATGTATTTGCACTCTGTCTTTTAATATGTAACTGAAAGCTACATGCTTTTAAAGTGTCCCTTTGGTGATGAAACTGAACAGGTTGCTTCTCCTAAGTGCTGCACCTCGCCTCTTAACGGTGTTTTTCTGATGGGATATGAAAGCAGTTATATCCATCTTTGCTCTGCCATCGACAGAAACAGTATTTGTACATAGCAGAACACGGGATCTACCTGCCTCATTCGGTGTTGTTGTTTTCGGTGAATTAAACCAACAGAAGACACACAACAACATAAACAATCTAAACCAGGGGTTCCCAACCTTCATTGTGCCAAGGACCGGCAGATAGCAACAGAGGCTAATTGTATGTAACAGCCTGAACGAATACTAGAACAATATGCATCCAAAACATATTAATAACGTTTAAAAAAGAACCGGTGTCGTTTTTTGGTTTTTCGGAAAAACAAAAAACCGACGTTATTCAGTTTTTAAACCAAAACGGGAAAACAGATAAATCAACATTTTGGTTTTGTTTTTATGATTTACGGATAATCCAGAGATGGGAAAACGAGGAGAAGGCGTATTATGAAGGAGGTGTGTGTGTGTGTGTGTGTGTGTGTGTGTGCGTGACACTGGCATTTGTTTTCAGAAGATATTATGATAGTGACGTTCGTTCCGGTGCACGTCCGACAGCATTTAGCACTACATCGAGATTAAGGTTAAAATAATTTATTTTGGGAACACCCGCATATAGGCTACCTATGGAGTTAGCCAGATGTGTGTAAATGACTGTTCATGGTCATTTGAAAACAAATGCCGGTGTCGGACAGACACAAACGCAGAGCAGAGCAGAGCAGAGCAGAGCAGAGCAGAGCAGAGCAGAGCAGAGCAGAGCAGAGCAGAGCAGAGCAGAGCAGAGCAGAGCAGAGCAGAGCCACACACACACACACACACACACACACACACACACACACACACACACACACACACACACACACACACACACACACACACACACACACACACACACACACACACACACACACACACACACACACACACACACACACACACACACACACACACACACACACACACACACACACACACACACACACCCACACACACACACACACACACACACACACACACACACAACACACACACTACATAATGCGCCTTGGTGACTGGACATCTCCTTCATAAAACTAATAAAAGCGGGAGTAATCGGGCAGTTCGATGTGTGTGTAGAGGTGTGTGTAGAGGTGTGTGTGGTTAACACGTAGCAGCCTGCAGTCACTCGCTGTTCTGATGAAGGTAAACACAGCGAAGGCGGTGCGTAAAAAGGCACAGCTCTCGGCGCGCTGGTTCTGCACTTCTCAAGCGGAGTTACACGTCCCGCTGCCTCCTGATGCTGCCTGCAGCCATTTCATGAAGGGAAGGAGGTTTTCCTTCTATAAAACAGCTGCGGGCAGCAGATACTGTGAGAGTCCCGGACATGAATTCATAGATCAAGGCAGACTGGTTTACTCTCCTGTTTTGCCCGGTGCTTAAACATATAGCTCTACACCCCTGGCCAACAAAATGTCCTTAAAATGAAGTCCGAGTTTGAAATATATCTCAAATAATGTATGCACTGCCATTTCCCCACATAAACATAACAGTCTGCAATCAAACGGTTGTCTCCTGTGCGCTCCTCTTCCTACTTGGCGCACCGGTAACTTTCTCGTGCGCACAAGAGGCTGAGACCTTATCTAAGCCGCCGAATCCCTTGGAACATCACAAAAGCCATTTTCAACGGTTATCTGGTGAAAGATTAACTAGGCTACTGGATGAAATAATATGACTGGTATAGGTGCGAACATTAAACACTTTTTGAAAAAATATTATGATAAAATATTTTTATATATTTATAATTCTGCAAATATTACGATAAACTCACAGCTATTTCGCGGCCCGGCAGTAACACCTCCGCGGCCCTGTACTGGTCCGCGGACCGGGGGTTGGGAACCCCTGATCTAAATGAAAGAAGCAGCGACAGACCACTTCCTGTTTCTGATGGAGGGAAATCGGTGAAGATATGCGTGTCGTTAGCGCAATTATGAAGTTAAAACGGCTCTCGGAAACACATTTAAAAACATAAATGTCCAATTATTTTGATTTTTTTACCGATTTATTCAATTATTTTTAACCTGAATGGTTAATTTTTAAATAATTTACACAATTAATGTGTTTTTTTTTGTTATTCCCTACAAAATAGTCCCAGAAAGCAGCGTCACACAGCTTCCTCAGTGCTGTGCAGCAGTAAGAGGTGTGGAGGATGAACTGATGGTACGTACTGTGTTGTACTCTCCCTCGATGACCTCATCGCTCTCTGTGGACTTGGCCGTCACCTTCAGCCTGCCGGGAGATCCCGCCTCCAGCTCCTCCACCTGATACACACACAGAAATTAACCTTGGTGCTTCTGTCCAATGTCTCGCTGAGAGATCACTCTTATGATGCAAGAAGGTACGACAATAGATCTGATGCTGTTCAATCACACAGTTCAAAGTAGGGCTGCTCGATTATGGCAAAAATCATAATCTCGATTATTTGGGTCAATAATTGATATCACGATTATTAAAAACGATTATCCATTTACTTTGAAAACATCCATTTATTGAAAAAGATATGTGAACAGTATGTTTTTAACAGTTGATTACCCTGAACTTTAAGTATAATTCAACTGAAAAACCAATAAAAAAATTAATTAAAATAAAATAAATAATCGTTTTATTTCGATGTTGTTTTCATAATCGTTGCAAGCCAACATCGTAATTGAAATTAATTGAGCAGCCCTAGTTCAAAGTCTGCTGACCACCAGTTTCCTTTGCTACCGATGAAAGTAAAACTACTTTAATCATAAGTTTTCATTTCAAACGACAGCTAGCCATATTGAAATAATCACGCTTTCATTATCTGTCTCTTGAACCTACAGTACACACGAACCCTGACCTTTATAGGGACATATTTGCGGAGGAACTTGACTCCGTGCTCCTCCATGTGCTCCCCCGCTCTGTTGGCCATCTCCTGGTCGAAGCCCCTCAGCAGGATGGACCGCACCATCACGGTCACATCCAGACCCAGACCGGCCAGGAAACCCCCGCATTCCAGAGCCACGTAGGACGCCCCGATCACCAGGGTCTTCCCCGGGCAGTGAGGCAACGAGAAGAGGTCGTCACTGAAGGGGGAGGTAGAGAGAATCAGAATCAGATACAGGTTTATTACCAGGTAGGTTGACACGTACGAGGAATTTGACTTGATAGGGTGTCAAACAGAGTGGACATTTGTAGGGCTGTACCCGAATATCCGAATATTCGTTCGTTGGAGTACTATTCGGGTTTCAATTTCGTTATTCGTTTTTTTTGGCAGCCGCTTTGCACTGCACCAAATTGAATGTATTGAAAACTCCAATATCAACGTAAGAGCTTGTTTATCTTCGGGGGGTGCTAACACTTAACCATAAACGTTATCGTTTACTTTCTCCGTCTTTATATGTAGATATGACTTTTTCTCCGTTAATCTCCGTCACGTTGTTTCCATAGCAACAACAACTTCCTTTCAACAGCGCTAACTCTCCTTCAAAATAAAAGCATGTCCATACAAAATAGTAAGCCAAGCCAAATTACACTTAAGACATATACAACTGCAACGAAAGTAACAAACACAATGCAATATCCTTTTCAATTTCAAGAACACAAATTGGGTTACATTAACAAATAACTATAAAACAACAATACTGTAGAATAACAAAATGAATGCCGTGAATACACCGGCCGAATATTCGCTGCTGATTACTACCGAATATCCGGAGCCCGAAAAATGGTATTCGGGACAGCCCTAGACATTTGCAATTGAAAGAGGCCATATTATGCATATAAATATATATATTAAGGTAAGGTACGTATTTATATAGCACATTTTCAGACACAATTCAAACTGCTTTACATTAGGGGTGGGAATCACCAGGCTCCCCAAGATACGATACTATCGCAATACTTAAGCCACGATACGATAGTATTGCGATTCTACGATATGCCAAGTATTGCGATACGATATATGATTGCATGATATATTGGGTTCCAGTGTCTGTATTGACGCATGGCTTTGCATATGAAGCAGGTGATTGAGTTATTTTCTTAGCTCGCTCAGAATTTGATAGTAGCCAAGCTAATTTGGATTTGCAATATGAATAGTTTATATAATAAAATATCACCACGCAAAGTATTGAGATACTATATCGATTATTTGCCCCACCCCTACTTCACATCATCCTCAACACTTAATGAGAAGACAACAGAAAGGAACACAATACATAATTGAATAACAGATTCATAAAAACCACGCATAAAAGAGATACAGAATAGTTTAAAAACATTGTAAATACGGTAGGTGCTTAAACAAGTTAAAGAGGACCTATCATGCTATATTTCAATAATATATTGTAGGGCCATACCTATATACATTTAAAAAAAAAAAAAAAATACCAAACAGATCATGCATTTTAGCCATGCCTTATTTCGCTCTATTTGCAGCCCTGTTTTTGCAGGGGCTGATTCTGTGAGAAGTCTTCTTCGCTGCTTTTGTGGCAGACTACAGCGCCACCTACAGGCCTGGCATATGTACTACAGCGTCTCCAGCACTTTCGAACTGCAATGGCCGTGGCCCAACCCCCCATTCCCCTGATAGGTGGAGAGTTGCCCATATAGGCGGAGCACCCCTTTTCTGACATCGGAAAAATTCAGCTCCGTTGCAGCCCCGTTTTTAGAGATTTGGGCATGGAGGAAAAGAGAGAGGGTTGTGTTTTCTGACACACTGGGGACACATATTCATGTATAAAAGATGTACAAAAGTGCATTTTGCATGATAGGTCCCCTTTAAAAAGACTTCTGGGTAAGCAGCTGTGAAAAGTAGTGTTTTTAGACTCGACTTAAAAGAACTCCGCGTTGGTGAAGATGATGTAATAGGGTTTTCCCTTTCATGTGGTGTGTTATAAAGGTTTTAGTGCATGGTAATGGTCTGCAAAGGATAACATCCCTGTGTTCCCTCCAAAGGGAGTTTCTCTCTTTTTGAACAAGCATGGAAACATGTCACAGTAGAGGCACAACATACAAATATGAACCTGAAAATGCTCCTATATTTTTCAAGTATAACACAAGCTGCTGCCATCTGACAGTTGGACATATTTATATTGCCAGTAATAATGTCTGCTTTGGCTACACTGACAGCTATAAAGTCATTTCCTGTATATTGTTGGTTTAATAATAAAAACAAACACCTTTTATGACGCCTTTACTGTCAGAGGTCCGAGCACAAACCCATAAAAAGATATGAATATAATAAAAGACTGGCTTACAACTATATAAATGTATTAAAGAGTAGTGATCCAGCAGCTGCTACGCAAAGAGAGATCATACTGGACATCTACATGCATTGACAATGTCATTTTTCATAAGACTGCCTATTAGTTATTGTTTAGCTCAAGGTTTAAAGGACTAAGTGAGCAGCATTAGACAATGTACAGGTTGGCTAATCAGCAGCATAATCACTGAAGACACATATTACATAACATTTACACAGATGGGAGATGAATGGATTACAAAGCCACCCACAGAGCACACAAGCACCGAGAGGATTAGAGGGTGTGTGTGCTTTCAAAGATAACACTCCCTATTGGGAGCAGAGGTTAACCGAATATTTTCCGTCAATGACGGATCTTTTCTAACAATGACGGAAAAATCTGAAAGCAGTCCGTCATTTTGACAGATTAGAACACAACTCGGAACAGCGCCAAAAAGTCCACCAGCGGCCCTCATTATATTACCTCCTGAGTGGCCAGGTCGACTGAGGGCGATCTACTCTACTGTAGTCTAACTATTATTTAGTCATTCACACCCCTGTCCAGTTGGTGGCGAGTGTGTGTATATTAAGTAGCTATTGTCTAGTCTCGTCGCAAAATGTCACGGCAGCTGATCGTCCGAAGCTTTTTTAATAAGCCCAGTAATTGTGATGGTGCGGATAAACGAGGTGAAAAGAGGGATTGATGCGGTGGAGGATGAAGGACAAGCCAGTAAGACTGACAACGTTCAGCCAGCGGCAGAGGGGCAAGCAAGTGGCAAGGAGTTCAAGCGGGAGTACCGGGTTCAGTGGGAGCAAGAGTTTAAGTGGCTGAGAGAAGCGAAGATGAGTAACGGATTTGTCCGAGGGTGCACGACGATGCAGAAATCAGCGTTCAGGCTACAGCAGGTCAATTGAGTTGTTCTTGTAAATGTTTTGTTCATATTTTTGATTGTAATTGTCTCATTTAAAACAATGGCATTGTTCATATTTGCCTGTTTAGGCACAGTGGTCGTGGTGTTTTTAGCGGCCTCTGCCCCCTCTGCTGTCTGTCAGAGCAGGAACAAATAAATCATTCATTCATGTTCGTGTTGACATGAAAAGTGACCACACGGTCGGTGTCTCTGTTTTCTCTCCATGCCCTTAAAAGTTCTGGATGAATCATTCAAAAAATGAATGAATGAATATTTGCTGCTCAGTACCCAAACATAAATATTAAATATGTCTCATCTCATCATTAAAACATGAAAAATAAAATGACGGGTAATAATGGATTATTATGACGGAAATGTTACGATCCTGTCGGTCAAGATGACGGACAACGAAAAAGTCTAACGCAACCACTGATTGGGAGAGACCCTTTTTAGACACCAGTGACATGTCGCCATGCTTTAATGTTCAAAAAGAGTGTCTCTACTTTAAAGAGTCCTCTCCTGCTGATGTTCAGGTGTATATCAGTATGTAGTGTCTCTACTTTAAAGAGTCCTCTCCTGCTGATGTTAAGGTGTATATCAGTATGTAGTGTCTCTACTTTAAAGAGTCCTCTCCTGCTGATGTTCAGGTGTATATCAGTATGTAGTGTCTCTACTTTAAAGAGTCCTCTCCTGCTGATGTTCAGGTGTATATCAGTATGTAGTGTCTCTACTTTAAAGAGTCCTCTCCTGCTGATGTTCAGGTGTATATCAGTATGTAGTGTCTCTACTTTAAAGAGTCCTCTCCTGCTGATGTTCAGGTGTATATCAGTATGTAGTGTCTCTACTTTAAAGAGTCCTCTCCTGCTGATGTTCAGGTGTATATCAGTATGTAGTGTCTCTACTTTAAAGAGTCCTCTCCTGCTGATGTTCAGGTGTATATCAGTATGTAGTGTCTCTACTTTAAAGAGTCCTCTCCTGCTGATGTTCAGGTGTATATCAGTATGTAGTGTCTCTACTTTAAAGAGTCCTCTCCTGCTGATGTTCAGGTGTATATCAGTATGTAGTGTCTCTACTTTAAAGAGTCCTCTCCTGCTGATGTTCAGGTGTATATTAGTATGTAGTGTCTCTACTTTAAAGAGTCCTCTCCTGCTGATGTTCAGGTGTATATCAGTATGTAGTGTCTCTACTTTAAAGAGTCCTCTCCTGCTGATGTTTAGGTGTATATCAGTATGTAGTGTCTCTACTTTAAAGAGTCCTCTCCTGCTGATGTTCAGGTGTATATTAGTATGTAGTGTCTCTACTTTAAAGAGTCCTCTCCTGCTGATGTTCAGGTGTATATCAGTATGTAGTGTCTCTACTTTAAAGAGTCCTCCTGCTGATGTTCAGGTGTATATCAGTATGTAGTGTCTCTACTTTAAAGAGTCCTCTCCTGCTGATGTTCAGGTGTATATCAGTATGTAGTGTCTCTACTTTAAAGAGTCCTCTCCTGCTGATGTTCAGGTGTATATTAGTATGTAGTGTCTCTACTTTAAAGAGTCCTCTCCTGCTGATGTTCAGGTGTATATCAGTATGTAGTGTCTCTACTTTAAAGAGTCCTCCTGCTGATGTGCAGGTGTATATCAGTATGTAGTGTCTCTACTTTAAAGAGTCCTCTCCTGCTGATGTTCAGGTGTATATCAGTATGTAGTGTCTCTACTTTAAAGAGTCCTCTCCTGCTGATGTTCAGGTGTATATCAGTATGTAGTGTGTCTCTACTTTAAAGAGTCCTCTCCTGTTGATGTTCAGGTGTATATCAGTATGTAGTGTCTCTACTTTAAAGAGTCCTCTCCTGCTGATGTTCAGGTGTATGTAGTGTCTCTACTTTAAAGAGTTCTCTCCTGCTGGTGTTCAGGTGTATATCAGTATGTAGTGTCTCTACTTTAAAGAGTCCTCTCCTGCTGATGTTCAGGTGTATATCAGTATGTAGTGTCTCTACTTTAAAGAGTCCTCTCCTGCTGATGTTCAGGTGTATATCAGTATGTAGTGTCCCTGCTTTAAAGAGTCCTCTCCTGCTGATGTTCAGGTGTATATCAGTATGTAGTGTCCCTGCTTTAAAGAGTCCTCTCCTGCTGATGTTCTGGTGTATATCAGTATGTAGTGTCTCTACTTTAAAGAGTCCTCTCCTGCTGATGTTCAGGTGTATATCAGTATGTAGTGTCTCTACTTTAAAGAGTCCTCTCCTGCTGATGTTCTGGTGTATATCAGTATGTAGTGTCTCTACTTTAAAGAGTCCTCTCCTGCTGATGTTCTGGTGTATATCAGTATGTAGTGTCTCTACTTTAAAGAGTCCTCTCCTCTGATGTAGTAACCTATATAACACACTAGAGTTGGGGGGGAAACCCCAAAAAGCATAACATTAATAAAATAGTCCCCCCCTTTAAATATAAAGGTGTAAATGCAGTGTGCTCTCACCTGGTGATGCAGAACTCTTTGTCTCCGGGGATGCCGAGGTAGCGCGGCCTCTCGCCTGTTGCTATGATAAACTTTTCCGCTGTGTAAAACGTCTCCTTCCCTCGTTTATTTGTCGCCTGTCAGAAAATACAAACAGGAACTCTGAGTTATTAATGAAACGAGGAACACAGATTAAAATCATCCAGCAGAATATTGCCAATTTTCAGTCAGAGGATTAACGGATTACTTATTGAAGAAATCCAAAGTTATCCTGTATATTTTTACAATATATATACACACTAAGATTAGGTTACGGATTACATTTCTTACAGGTAACTAGTAATTGTAATGGATTATATTTTTTAAAGTAACCCTCCCAACTACGTGCAGGTGAAACTAAAGATGCTATGAAGCAGGGAAGCCAACAACAACACGGTTGAAATGAAAAGGCGTTTTAAAAACAAACAAAACACCACGACAGGCTGGACAACATTTCAATCCATCAGTCATTTTCGTGGCTAATCCTGTTCTGGATGTGGAACCAGCTAACCCAGTTTAACATCTGTACAAAAACATGAAAGCTCCCTTTTTAAAGGCTATATTCCCTTAGAATACGGCCGCTCTGAGGCTAAACTTCGCTCATTGATGTGACGCGCACACATAATAGAGTCTGGACTGAACTCGACGTTTTAAGGGTATTTAATATTGTAAATCAAAACAATAACCAAACAGAATCATACGCTCAACAAAAGATATCGGAGCTATGCTACCAAACCTCCACATACACCAGGTGCCCTAAACACCATCAACCACACCATGTGACAATCACTGGAAACAACCCATTACAAGTGTGTGAGGTGCTAACAAGGTTACTTCACAGATGTGGAGGAATGATGGTAAATATAACCAAGTGTAAAATCTGATTTTAGTTCCACCTGGAGTAAATCCACCAGCTACCCTGCAGTATACAAAGTCATTCAAACTAGCTGCACCTTTACCAGCTTTGAGAACACTTTCATGATCAATCATTATAAAACACATCATATATATTATTCTGAAATGGACCAATCTGCACAACGACTACTTTTACTGTCGCTACTTTCACTATATTTAGATGATAATACTTTTATACTTTTACTTGAGTCACATTTTGAATGCAGGACTTTTACTGTAACAGAGTATTCCTACACTCTGGTACTTCTACTTTTACTAAGTACACGATCTGAGTACTTCTACTTTTACTCAAGTACAATATCTGAGTACTTCTACTGTTACTCAAGTACAAGATCTGAGTACTTCTACTTTTACTCAAGTACAATATCTGAGTACTTCTACTGTTACTCAAGTACAAGACCTGAGTACTTCTACTGTTACTCAAGTACAAGATCTGAGTACTTCTACTTTGACTCAAGCACAAGATCTGAGTACTTCTACTTTGACTCAAGTACAAGATCTGAGTGCTTCTACTTTGACTCAAGCACAAGATCTGAGTACTTCTACTTTTACTCAAGTACAAGATCTGAGTACTTCTACTTTGACTCAAGCACAAGATCTGAGTACTTCTACTTTTACTCAAGTACAAGATCTGAGTACTTCTACTTTGACTCAAGCACAAGATCTGAGTACTTCTACTTTGACTCAAGCACAAGATCCGAGTACTTCTACTTTTACTCAAGTACAAGATCTGAGTACTTCTACTTGGTGTTAACAAATGAAGATAATATAACAATGAACACAGGCTGCATGTTGGCTCCTCCCCCCACGTTACCTTGACTTTGTGAGGTTCGATGAACTCTGCGTAGGCGTTGACGTAGTTGACGTTCTTGTCCCTCAGAGCCACTCTGTAGCCCCAGTTCAAGGAGCCGATGTAGTTGCTCACCGCGTCCTTCATCGTGTCCCAGTTGTGTTTCACTGAGAACACAAACCTCCATTATTAGCATTCAGAATACCTTTATTAGTCCCACAGAGGGGACATCTACATTGTTACAGCCGAAAAGAGACAAAGACAGCTTAATGTTACCTAAGAAGCACATTATTAAAAAGATACAACAAAAAAAAAATCCCAGTGGAGGAAATAAGCAGAATTCTGATTGGTTGCAAGGGGATCAAATACTTATTTCCCACAGCTATATGCAAATCCATTTCTATCATATATATAATATCAATTTCTGGATTTTATCTTTTTTCTTACTCTCACTGTTAAAATAAACCTACCATTACAAATATAGACTTAATGTTTTTGTAAGAGGGCAAACTTACAAAATCTGCAGGGGATCAAGTACTTGTTTCCTCCACTGCATATTGCACAATTAATAGAATTGAGACAATCACTACTTCTGACAAGGTGTGCCTCGACATTTACCGCGGCAGACCGGTCCGATGTCGCCCCTGCGTGACCTCCGGGGTCTCTGCTGCTCTGAGGCCTCACCTTTCTCGTCGATCTCCCAGCCGAACTTTCGAGCGTCCTGAATGGCGGTTCCCAACATGGCCGTCTGATGCATCAGCTTCTTGGGGATGCAGCCCACGTTCACACAGGTTCCACCCAGACCTGAACAACACATGGAAATACTCAATGGTGCTCTAGGAGGAGATTCAGGTGATGGGGTGGCGGGTTACCTTGGTTGGTGATTGGCTAATGGTTACACAAGCCAACAAAACGTTATGACATCATAAAGTGGCCAAAATCTGATCAGCTCATTTTCAGACAGGTTTTATTAATTGTGTTCCTTTCTGTTGTCTTTGTATTAAGTGTTAATGATGATGTAAAGCACTTTGAATTGCCTCTGTGTCTGAAAATGTGCTATATAAATAAACATACCTTATCTTAACTAGCAATTGGAAATGATAGATAGACAGATAGACATTCAGATAGATAGATAGATAGATAGATAGATAGATAGATAGATAGATAGACAGACAGACAGACAGACAGACAGACCGACAGACTTGGAGGATGTGACCCTCTTTAATGGTCACACACACATGCACACAGTGAAATTTGACCACAGGGCAACACAGTAGCAATACCTTGAAATAATCAATACAGAGAGTTAAAGATACTCAGCATCACGTGCATCTATACTAGGGATGGGAATTTGAAAGCAAATGTATATTCGAATATTCGACCCCCCAAAAAACGGTTAACTGAAATGTACATATCCTAAAAAAAAAAATTGGGTAAAAAAAAAAATACATTTTTCAAGACCTTTTGGAAATAAATACATGTTCAAATAAGTGTAGAAACCAAGTCGAATTTGTCAAATGTATTGAACTGATCACAGTTTGACAGCTATAGGCCTACAGCTTTCATGTGCGGAGGCGATTCACAATCAGGCCAGCTGTAGAGAAGACCCTCTCAGCTGGAACGGAGGTTGCGGGTAGAGCAAGGTATAGCATGTATATACGTTTAATTTGGCATCGTTTGACCTCTACACCGCACTCACTAACCTGGTCGAAATATTTCCACACATTACTCCTTTTTGACGCCATGTCTGTTGTGTAGGACTCTTCTTAGAGTGTAAATAATTACCGGACTATGACTGGTCAAATATGTTGAATAGCGGCAAAACTAAATCTCTCCTGTCAAAATGTCTCTGTACTTTGCCGCCACACACGGTTGCCAAGCAGCGCTTATTGTTGTTTAGGCTGGCCACTCATGTGTCGCGAGTGTTGACGGGGGGCGGGGGAGCACGCTCATGAGCTGTTAGTGCCGGAACCTCGCACCGGCTGCGGAGCGCATTAGCGCCGCATTTGGGCCTAAAATGAGGTTTGAGTCTGCGTGGTCTGCGTGTAGGGGGGGGCAGCAGCCATATCATTAGCTAGAACTAGATCTGATGGATTTGGACATAAATGCGAGTGAAGTATAACCGGACACGAGAGAGAGATCAGCACCTGCAGCTCTGCCCGCTGTGAGGGACCGGTGAGCGGAGCAAAACACCTTTAGACGTCAACTAACACATTTAGCTATGGCACTGTCGTATACATTGAATTATTCCATTTGATCATATGTAATCAACTTAGGCATCACTCCCAAAAAATATATATATTAATAACTCATATTCGAATAATTTTGAATATTCGATTAATCGTTCCCATCCCTAATCTATACAAGTATCCTTGAAATGAAGCCTCTTACCCCAGGTGGTTCCCTTTGGAGTGGGCACCACATAGTCCAGCACCATGGCCTTCTTCCCCAAGGCAGCAGCTTCCTGCGATATCACGTAAAACATTATGTATAGGTTTCTGCAGACTGTTTGCAAGTTAAAGAGGACGTATAACGCTCATTTTCAGGTTCGTATTTTTTGCTTCTAATGTGACATGTTTGTATGCTTTAACGTTCAAATAATGCTGCCCTTTGGGACCTTAGCCCGTGCACTACAGTAAAGAACACTAGGGGAAAGGGAAAACCCTAAAAAGCAGATCAGGGCTTCTATATATTTTTGTGTACATCCATTCGTACTCCAATTTAGATTAGGTTTCTTTAACGAGGGGTCTCAACATGCAGGTCTCAACTCCCAAGAAATCTACATGAGAATATGAAAAACAAAACATATAGGAATCAAATCAATATTAACACTGAGAACGTAAAGTTATATTTAAGGTCATCCTACATATTGCAAGAATACAGTCCAATACACTTAGGACACACATCAGGGCTTCTTTAATGAATCAAAGAACAGTGAATGTGTTTGATGGAGTCACCTTCGAGCAGGCCAGGCCTCCAGACCCCCCCCCGATGACGATCAGGTCGTAGTCGTACGCTTCAGTCTCTGCACACAGGAGCTGCTGCAGGCTGCCGTCTTTATGAGCCTGACAGGAGCATCAATCAATCCAGCGTTCAATCAAGACAGCAGTTATTCTTTCAGAGACTCGTATCGTGCAGCTGAATGACTATCAACATCACATATCTAACAGGCACTCTCATAACAGCCGTTTTAATTATTGTCCCAGTACAAGCGGTGCTATTTCAATGACAGGTTAACTAAATGGCTGCTGACGTATTTGGTCATTGTGACATCAAGTGCAGTCTAGAGCTGCAACGATCAATCATCAGAATAATAGACAGGAAATAATCCAGCACGCTCGTTAACGGTTAGTTCTGTTAACTGTTAGTTCTGTTAACTGTTAGTTCTGTTAGTTCTGTTAACTGTTAGTTCTGTTAGTTCTGTTAGTTCTGTTAGTTCTGTTAACTGTTAGTTCTGTTAGTTCTGTTAGTTCTGTTAACTGTTTTAACTGTTAGTTCTGTTAGTTCTGTTAGTTCTGTTAACTGTTAGTTCTGTTAGTTCTGTTAACCGTTAGTTCTGTTAGTTCTGTTAACTGTTAGTTCTGTTAGTTCTGTTAACTGTTAGTTCTGTTAGTTCTGTTAACCGTTAGTTCTGTTAGTTCTGTTAGTTCTGTTAACCGTTAGTTCTGTTAGTTCTGTTAGTTCTGTTAACTGTTAGTTCTGTTAACTGTTAGTTCTGTTAACTGTTAGTTCTGTTAACTGTTAGTTCTGTTAGTTCTGTTAGTTCTGTTAACTGTTTTAACTGTTAGTTCTGTTAGTTCTGTTAGTTCTGTTAACTGTTAGTTCTGTTAGTTCTGTTAACCGTTAGTTCTGTTAGTTCTGTTAACTGTTAGTTCTGTTAGTTCTGTTAACTGTTAGTTCTGTTAGTTCTGTTAACCGTTAGTTCTGTTAGTTCTGTTAGTTCTGTTAACCGTTAGTTCTGTTAGTTCTGTTAGTTCTGTTAACTGTTAGTTCTGTTAACTGTTAGTTCTGTTAACTGTTAGTTCTGTTAACTGTTAGTTCTGTTAGTTCTGTTAGTTCTGTTAACTGTTTTAACTGTTAGTTCTGTTAGTTCTGTTAGTTCTGTTAACTGTTAGTTCTGTTAGTTCTGTTAACCGTTAGTTCTGTTAGTTCTGTTAGTTCTGTTAACCGTTAGTTCTGTTAGTTCTGTTAGTTCTGTTAACTGTTTTAACTGTTAGTTCTGTTAGTTCTGTTAGTTCTGTTAGTTCTGTTAACTGTTAGTTCTGTTAACCGTTAGTTCTGTTAACTGTTAGTTCTGTTAACCGTTAGTTCTGTTAACTGTTTTAACTGTTAGTTCTGTTAACCGTTAGTTCTGTTAACCGTTAGTTCTGTTAACCGTTAGTTCTGTTAACCGTTAGTTCTGTTAACCGTTAGTTCTGTTAACCGTTAGTTCTGTTAACCGTTAGTTCTGTTAACCGTTAGTTCTGTTAACCGTTAGTTCTGTTAACCGTTAGTTCTGTTAACCGTTAGTTCTGTTAACCGTTAGTTCTGTTAACCGTTAGTTCTGTTAACCGTTAGTTCTGTTAACCGTTAGTTCTGTTAGTTCGCCGGAGCCTCGCAGCGGGGTTACTTCGGAGTGCAGAATTGCGCCGCATTTGCACATGACTGATGTGCAGCAACATGCGCCTCCTCTGTTTCTCCTAAGGTCTCCCTTTCTGTCGGTCGCTCGTTAGCAGAGCGAACAGGTACAGGAGGCGTAGAGCCAGGGATGTCCACTAGTTCATCGATCGTAGATGGCGTCGTGCTCGCGGACGGATACAAAAATATACTTTGGCGGCTGTTAATATAACATATAAACAAACTGTTACTGACAGCCCTAATGAAGTCAACGGTAAAACTAAGGCTACATTAATTAACCAGCCGACCGTAAGAAAGAGATATAATGGATAGAACAAGTAAAAAAACATCTTGGGTGCTTTTTAAAACTTAACCAGCACAGTGCCAGTTCGACAATAAGTCTCGTAAAATCAGCACAGAGTTCCATACAACATGTTAGGGCTGTACCTGAATATCCGAATATTCGTTCGTTGGAGTACTATTCGGGTTTCAATTTCGTTATTCGGATATTCGTTTTGTTTTCAAATTGAATTTAAATCTCCAATATCAACGAAAGAGCTTGTTTCTCTTCGGGGGGTGCTAACACTTAACCATAAACGTTATCGTTTACTTTCTCCGTCTTTATATGTAGATATTACTTTTTCTCCGTTGATCTCCGTCACGTTGTTTCCATAGCAACAACAACTTCCTGTCAACTGCGCTAACTCTCCTTCAAAATAAAAGCATGTCCATAAATAGGAAGCCAGGCCAAATTACACTTAAGACATATACAACTGCAACGAAAGTAACACACACAATGCGATACACTTTTCAATTTCAAAGAACACAAATTGGGTTACATTAACAAATAACTATAAAACAACAATACTGTAGAATAACTAAATGAATGCCGTGAATAAACCGATATACACGCGTTGCAGCGGTTCACTGCTGATTACTACGTTTACTGTCCTTGTGTTTCTCGGTTTGGACACGCTGCATTTCACAAGGCATGTTTGAGCAAAAACAAGACGCTGAGATAATACTTTGTTGTCAGATCAAGTCTTAAGTATTTCTTGCATCACTGCAGCTCCATTTGCAACGTCAACAAGGAAACAGAAATCCAAAATACTATTGCAACCTGTAACGGAGGTGATCTCTGGGCCCGTAGATCTCGGCCTCCGTTACGGGTAATATAGCACTAAAAACATTGCACAGGAATGTATGTAATTTATGTAACTAGTTTGTCTGTCTCTGTTTCCTGGTTTCATTCTGAAAAGTGTTCCCGTTCCCCCATGTCTGTGGCTGGACTGTGTGCACCTGGTGCCCTGTGTTGTCTCCTCCTCCCTCCTCCCCCCCGTGTCTAATTGCTCCCCCCTCACCTGTGTCTTGTTACTCTGTGTGTGTATTTAGGTGCAGTTTTCTTGGGAGGCTGGTAGTGTGGGTGAGATCCTTGTGGCTGTGGTCAGGGAGAAACAGCAGGATTAAGGCTGTGTGTCATGTGTTCATGACGTAATAAATGCCCACACCAGGTTGTATTTTGGACGTTCTGCCTCTGCCTCCTTGCTCTGTCGGGCCGCTCAATTGTCAGCTTCACACAACCACTGCAGACAATAAGTTCAAGGCCCTTTAACGTACATTTCAACTGGGATTTAACTCAAGTTAAAGAGTGCTTCAGTCTTACTTTATTAAATCATGAGACCCTAATAGTGGTGGGTTCAGCTTCAATTCGAGCCAAATAGACTTGTTTTCACACCATTTAAATGAGCCACTTGCTTGAGTAACATGTCCTCTAAGGAGATATGCAGGTGTTGTATATCGGGAAGATTTGACTCTCTTTAAGACATTTAATAAGATAACCACTCCTCACCTGCAATGTGTTGTCGCAGCCGCCCACGTGCGTCTTGTTGATGAAGACGTTGGGAACACTTTTCTGTCCGGTCATCTCGAGCAGCATATCCTGGTAGTTGGTTCCATCCTCTAAAACAGAAGGGTTGAATTATTGTTAAAAAGCAACCTAATACTGCCGTTTAAAAATGACAATCATTTAATACATCTGCTTTTCATATGATAGTGTATGAGTAATAGACACAGGATATGCCTAAATAGCTAAAAGGGGGAAGCATGAAAATGTGTCTTATAATCACAACTTCCTGTCTGTGCTGACATCTTAGCTTTTTGCTACACACACAGGCTGTGATTAAACTGTTATCTACTTTCCAAAGTGTGCAAGTAGTCAGTTAAATGTGTTACAGTCAGAGTCTAATAGTAAAGCAAAGCTGATGAGTTTAATTTCCATATTAATTTAAACAGGAAGTCAACTGGACCTTAGCTAAGAGGTTGGAGACATAATCTTACACTTCATTAACAGTGAATATATTTGTTTACACACTTATTTTCTGCCTTAGCAACAGGATATGACTTTGTTAGGTTCCCTTGTGTGGTATAATTTGCCTCCGATATAAATGTCCTTACAATTTAAATACTGTGAATCTAGCTGAAGCATTACATACTGGAAAAACATTTCTTTAGAAAAGGTCAATTGTATTCATAATAGAGATTAAGTTGGTTAATAACTCAATGATTAAACATCTCCATATACTTTCTTTAACAAAAGTAAAACTGAAATGATTAGCTCTTACGACAGAGCCGTTTCCTGAGATCTGGCACGAGGCCAAGGTATCTTCAGGGAGTGACTCAGCATTTTCTGCTGCTGCAAAGTACAACACCATGGCCGTAGCATGGAGGAAGACATCCAGATTTAAGCTAAAACCACGGAAATGTAAGTTATATTAACATCCTATTCAATTAGGCAAAGTAATAGGGGTATCATTTGACTTTAAACTCCAGAAAAAGCCCTTCAGAAGCACTCAACTAAACACTTTAATGTAAGCAGATAAAGACAATTGTTACGAGTGTTTAAGGTAAAGTATTTGTCAGCGACTGCTCACCTATAAGATCCAACTCCATCGCATTAAACTCGAGTTTCAGCTCTTTGAACAAGTCTTTCACCTACAAGATCAAATACATTCATATGTTACAAATTCTCCAATTACACATACTCCAAATTCATCATTCAATTAGTAAACAAGCTTATTAAAACCCTTTATTCATGTCAAGTGTTGGGTAACATCGCTTGGTGTGTAAGTTATGAAAGCGAATGAAAGAAATGAGCTGTAAGAAACCCAGATATTTGCACTTTTACTTAAGTAATCTATCCGAGTACTTCCTCCAACACTCTTTATTATTGCAAGTTTGCAAACGTTTATTAGGAAATGCGAACAAACTGCTATCTTGATCAACTTGTATCAAAAATATTTCTTATTCACCCCAGCAATTAGACGGAGCCCTTCGTGGGAATAGGACCAGGTGGTTATATTATCTACTCAAAAATATTATTATTTTTTACAGCTTATTTCATTAAACAGATCCACTTTGTTCAGAATATAAAACTCTTCTTTTTTTTTTACTTATAGCATGGGTTAATCACAAAAAACATGAAGAAACACAGATACTAATACTTTAAGTATATTTTGATGCCAATACTTTTGTGCTTTTACTTGAGTAACATTTTGAATGTAGGACTTGTACTTGTAACAAAGTATTCCTACACCCTGGTACTTATATTTTAACTGAAGTACAAGATATGAGTACTTCTTCCACCTTTTCTGAGACTTGTGTAATGTGTTGTAATCTGAACTACTCCGCTGTCTGTGGTAACGTGACAGGATGACGCAGCAATTAGACGGAGCCCATTCACTACTTCATGGCAGTAGATGGAAGTTTCCCAGCCAAGCAAGGCTAACTTAAATAGACAGAATAACCCGCTTACCTTCACACAATACGGGCAGTAGCTCTTACTGAAAACCATCACTTGGTTGGAGTCGATCAGCAGCTGAATCTGGGATTTCAGATCATTCTTCCCGGTGTCATTTTCGATGGGAGGCATTTTTCAAGGTGTTTCCGTCCGCCTGCACAGGGGCAAGCTTCGATAGACGGCTGGAGGAAAACGTTAAACCGAAGAAACAATCTTTTAATAAATCCACCAATGTGTCCCGGGACTTTTATCCAAGCGGAAATGTAAAAAAAAGTCGCCGGTTGTGACCTCCTCCGTTCCTGTCTTACTGCCGTCAGCCGCCTGTCTACACACCGCGCCAAACGGCTCTGAGCATTTCTTGGCGTGCTGCTTTGGGAGCACTCGATTTGGGTCACCGTGTGTAACGGCTGTTGCATTGCTCGTCATTGCAAACAGGAAGAACTCCACCCACGCGGAGGAAGTCTTACAACAAAACGAACACACCTATAGAAACGTCACAGACTCGCCTATTTTTTTTTTTGTAGAGCTTTATTGGAAAATGCATGACATAAAAAGCTTTCAGATACTTAAAAGAAACAAATACAAATACTTTAAAGTAATCAAATAAAGTGAAGTACATACAAGGGCTAGGTCTTTTTACATAAATAATATTTTTCAATTGTGATTAACAGTTTAATTGCATTTTTGTTTTTCATTCATTTTATAGGGCTTTAATTAGAGGAAGAAACTCATTGTGGAATACATCAAATGTAGGGAAAAGCTAAATCTGTATTAATTTATTTAATAAGACGCGTTTGTAGTGTACTAACATAAATAAATACGATGAAAACTAAAATAAGCAGCCATACAGGCGTCCTTCGAAGACAGCTAACCCTAAACTGAGATACAAATGAAGCAAAGAAGACAACACCTAATTTGATAATAATAATTAAGTGGTAGCTCTGAGCATTTCAGGTTTCTATTCCTACATTGGTGTGGGTTCATATGCAATAATCAGGTATCTAGCGCCATCTATTGGTTAAACTAGCCAATGACAGCAGGTGGATTGTGTATACGAGGTCCCCCGGGAAGATTTTATTTTTTAAATACTGAAGTTAAAAGCATCAATCCTTCTAGTCAGAGCGGAGCATGACACCTGACTATTCCCTGTGTTTTTGTTTTTTTTATATATTTCTGTTGTCAATTATTGTCTTTTATTGTGATTGTAGTAATGTGTTTTTATTATACATGTAGGCCTACAGCACTTTGGCTCGACCAAAAATCGCTTTTAAATGTGCTATATAAATAAAACTTGATTTGATTTGAACTTTGAGAGCAACATTAAGAGATATGGATACATCTCTCAACACCCATATGAAACAGAACTGTAAACAGATTTACTTTTTCTTTATGGATATTTTACAAATCATTATTATCTCTCTAGGGCAGCCTTTCCCAAACTCAGGGTCGCGACCCAAAATGGGTCGCGGACCCGTTTTGATTGGGTCGCCAGTTAAATGCATTGCTACACACACACACAGCGTCAGAGCTGATGGCTGCCTTGCAAATACAATTTTTTTTTTTTTTTTTTTAAATAAAATTATGCAATATAGCATTGCATATTGAATGATTTAATTTTCTAAATACAAATAAAATTAAAATAAAAGATTGTATTTGTATCAGCTCTGACGCGCCCCCCCGCGAAAGTTTTCGCGCCGTCTGTTTATTGTCTGTTGATTAATCGCGATCGTACATGATGGCAAAAAGACGATACAAAGAGGAGTTTTTAAACGTTGGCTTCACAAAAGCTGTTAGAAATGGAGAGAAGCGGCCTCAGTGTGTTTTATGTGGAGAGGTGCTCAGTAACGAAAGCTTGAAAATGAATAAATTGGACCGACATCTCCAAACAAAACATCCTCTGCATCGGGACACATCGAAGGATTTTTCCATCTGCAAAGAAGAGTCTTTCAAGAAGCAGTGTTTTGACGGCGGAAAAGTAAGTCACTCATTTTAACCATTTGTTTTGTGTGTTTGTGAGCTTGTCAGGGTCTGTTGTGAAATTGTTTCGTTAATGCAAAGTTGGATGAAATGCAAACTGAGCCCCGGAGCGGACCGCCAGCTGCGCGCTCTCGCGCGTCCTCTACTCGCTCCCGCGAGTCCATTCTGCAGCGGCACAGAGCGGTGTTTCAACTTTTACTTGCTTAAAATGTTTTTAAAACGGCCGGGAGAAAAACAGAGAAACAATAACCACAGGAAGATTAGAGGGAAAGTGACAGGCAGTATGAGAAGGAAAGCGAGAGACAGTATCAGCCGCACGGACGTGACTGCTGCAGTGTGATGCACATAGGAATACATGGGGGTTATTCCCTATCTTTATTCAAGAGCGTGGTCTTTACATTTATTGATTTCACGTTCAGAATATGTATTTCTTTCCCTCAAACCCTGTCCTCGCACTCAAATAGTGCCTGCTTGCGCTTAGATCTGCTTTGCTTCTGCTCAAACTGTAGCTTGCACTCAGATATATTGCTGCTTACAGATTTCCTGTGTTCCAGCTTAAAACCTTCTCCTCGCACTCAGGCTGTTTCTGTGCGCTCGTGAAATGTCTGATCTCAGATTTCTTCTGTGCGCGCTCTGATCTTTTGTGCAACAACCCTGTCAAGAACCCCCTGTGGGGATTCCCCACAGTATTGAGTAAGTCGCTTTGGATAAAAGCGTCTAACAAGTAACTAATGTAATGCGCTATAAATGCGGTTGCCAGGTCCACATTGCGTATACAGCGTACGCTGTACTGGTGTTAAAAATCACCCAATAACCAGCAATGTTAATGATAATATCTTCTCTGTTGTTTCCAGGCATTCAAAGGGAACAGAGGGCACTGAGGGCATCCTATCAAGTCAGCCACAAAAAAAAAGTTAATCAGTTGCCAAGTGTTGGAGTTTCTTTGTCTCTCAGTGTTTTACAACAGCTCTGTTCATTTAAGTGTTTAAAACATGTGTGTACATAGTTTTTGATCTAGTGACAAACTTAATGTTGCACTTCTGATCATTTAAATGTGGTTTCACCTGCGATGTACTGTACACTGCACTTCCTATAGTTAGTGTTTTGTCCCTTTCTGTTTACAACATGTTTGTTCTTTGTTCATTTAAAATAGTTTAAAAATGGTGTGTGATCTAGTGACAAACTTAATATTGCACTTTTGATAATTGTATAATTTAAATTTGATTTGTACTGTATATACTTGACTGCACTTCCCATGTTTCGTCTTTCTGCTTTGATCCTTATATTTTCTGGGCAAGCCAAAGGGAAGGTTGTTATGGTGAGAAACCTAATTGCTTCGATGCACTTTTATAATTAAATACATATTTTCATTTTAAATTCATGGTGTGTTGCATTCTTTGTTTATAACTGTAGATATTATGGGAAATCATGTCATTTTTTGAGCTTGGGTCCCTTTGGACCACAACATTTCTATTTTGGGTCTCATGCTGAAAAAGTTTGGGAACCCCTGCTCTAGGGCTCTGGTGTTGCTGTAGCAACTGCAAGCTACCGCCCCTGGGCTGTCGGCAAAATAAATCACTCTGATTGGCTGTTCAGCTTAGCGAATCAGTGCGATCAAACGATTTAAAAGGCACACACAGACGGCTATTCTTTTTCATTTTCATCTCACCTGGACGCTAGAGTTTATTTTTCATCATGGCGATCTGGAATGCAGAAACCGAAGAGCAACTCATCAGCTTGATTCAGGAGAGGCCAGCTCTGTACGACATTACAGAGAAACGGTACGCGAACCGAACAGTGAGAACCGGACTCTGGCGAGAGATTGAAACTCAACTTGTTCTATCAGGTAAGATTATCTTTTTTTTTTAATAAGACGCAGGTTTTTTTCATCAATTGAGCTCTTTAGCAGAACAAAACTGTTTGTTTGTTATTGTTCGCCAGCGTACAGTGAAATATATAATTTGTTATTTCAACCTTGTGTTTTGTTGTTATTTTTGCTAGCTGTTGCTACTTGTTTGGCACTGCATATATATATATGATGTGTATGTGTGCTTCAGAGAAAGAGCTCAAGAGGAAGTGGGATTCTCTGCGAACCCAGTACACCCGGTACAGGAGACTTTCCCCTTCGGGTAGTTTTGGAGCACTAAAGACTGGCAGACAGTGGATCCTGACCAGGCTGCAGTTTCTCGAGCCCTACACAAGAAGAAGAAGGAAGGAAAGTACTTCAAACCTCACCATCACGGTAAATATGTTATTTGTTGAGTAAAAATAAGTGTGTCTTGCTTCTTTCATGTAGAAACATTATTTCATTCATTGACAGTGGCAAATATAACAATGAACAGGGGCTTGCGAACAGGCAAGGTAGGCAACTGCTTGGAGCCCCGGTACAGAAGGGGGCCCCAAAAAAAGGTAGATTTTAAGAAGGTCCACAGCAACGACAACATGAAACGCCCTCTAATTTACTGCGACGACATGTCGGGAATCCCCCTCAAGGCGGCCCCAAAATGCTGCTTCTAATTTTAAATGTCGTTGCATTATAATGATTGATGGATTCATGTGCTCATCACCTTAATGTTGCAGCTGGTAAAGGAGGAGCTGATTTAAATACGGCTGGGTAGCTTATGAAATTCCCCATGGGATCAATAAAGTTTTTATCTCAACCTACATGATACATACATGATAAAATATTTCTTGATTGTATTTTGTATTGTTCTGAATCTTCAAAGTTACTAAAGTTATCAAATAAATGTGGCGCAGTATAAAGTACTATTTACCTGAATGGGAGTGGAGCAGTACAGTACTTAAGTAAATGTACTTTGTTACTGTCTACCGCTGTTCATTGTTCAAGATTGAAATGTAAAATGCAAGACGGTTTCTGCCTCTCTATTCACAGGCAGCCTTTCATACGTGATGGTGGCTTCATTCTCCCATGATCCTCCGCAATCTGTCTAGAAGTATGTTTAAGCATCTGAATCGAGTCATCACATTTTGTTTACAATGTGCCTTTCACACTTGACCACACCCCGAACGAATGGCACACACATTACAGGGTATTGTTTTGTTATGAATGCTTAGTAAACAGTTGAATCCATGGTATTAAATCCAACTAATTGTGAATTTATTTTAAAAACATTTAAGGAACCCCCGGTGGCTGCAGAATCCGCCTCCGATGGCACCAGCAGTGACGCCTGGAACAGCACCCCTGAGGAGCCCTTCCTCTCTGATGCTGAGTCAAGGCCCTGCACTCCCCTGGCAGAATCCACCATCTGTGGAACAGAGTCCACACTGGCACCGCTCGGAGAGGGGCCAAGCACACTCAGTCACTTAAGCACTCCAAGGCCTCGGCGAGTGAAGCGCCGCAGGAAGATGCTGGATGAGTCTACCATTGAGGCGTCAGAAACTTTGATGCGCACGATTGGCAGGACCCTGGAACATTTACGTTCGAAGGGTGAACATAATGACAAAAACATTAGTGCGGTACTGGCGTTATCAGCCCTTGGACTGTTGCTTGTGAAAGCAGATCTAAAGAGGCGGAGGTGGATAATTAGGAGAAACCGCACTAAATGGGTGAAATCGTGGATACGACAGCGACAAGCTCATGGGGCTTTCCCGTACTTCGATTAGAAGTCGATATGCCAAACAGTCTGTCATGGATGAGTCTTTGCGGTGCGACTTTTTGGTCAAGACGCAGGAGGCGACACAACAGTCGGGTCCGTCGGGACGTGTTCTTTGGTGTCAGTTTGTAACATGATACACAGTTTAGGATTCAAACTCCTCTCCACGATATTAAGGCACAGGTGGAACAAGTATTCAAACTCTTTACTTGAGTAAAAGTACTAACACCATACTGTAAACAAACTCAATTTCAAGTAAAAGTACTGCCTCAAGAATGGTACTTTACTCAAAGTATTTAAGTGAGATTAGGAAAATGTACTTAAAGTATTAGGAGTAAAAGTATTTTAAAGCAAAAGCAGCAAATCTTTACATTTAAAGATATGGAAAAGTGAAATGTTTGTAACAATAAACTTCACCCACTCAGTGTTTTAGTTACTTCAATATAATGTATTTTTATAGTCACTCTTTCAGTGACATGTTGCTGGTACCGCTTGGGCCATTAGTCCTACATCTGGTAGGTTTGTTCAGGAAAGATGTCTTCATTGTTATAATGATGAACCATAAGGCATATACCTATTGTGATGCCCCTGTGGGTTCATCAGTGGAGAGGGTGTGGCTGTGCTGTCTTGGCTGCATTGATCGCACTGATTGCAGTAACTCAGGGCACCTGCAGGTCTGGTGCTCTGCAGCTATTTTAAAGCCTCTCTGCTCCTGTCTGTTCTCTCTCTGCTTTCTCCTGCAGGCACCCGGCTCTGATGAGTATAAACCATGAGTTGACTTGAACAGTGTGGTGCAAATAAACACCTTTACCTACCCGTTGACATGTTGTGTCTCCTTCTTGTCGTGGCCTTTTGAGCCAGGTCGCAACACCTATTTACAAATATATCTACATTACATCAAACTGGCTTTTCCATGCACATTTACACCTGCTTTTAGTCAGTGTAATGGATGGATGCGATGGGTTATGGACACAATTCCTATAGTACTTTACTGAATATATTTTCGTCAAATGACATGTTGTACATCTTGCTTCCTTATTTTGAACCATGCCTCATTGGGTTGGGTCATACACGTCAGTCCCATTGTGCGACGCAGATATGTCAACAACAGTCAACTCGGCAAACGGAGCCGCTCAGATCGTCTCAAAGAAATGAAACCGTTAATCAGAAGTGTAATCAGCAATCCTGTGACGGCATTCAGGTCATGTAGGCCTAGATGTTTAATAGACGTGAATATCTTTATCTTGGCAGTGCACAAACAATGGCCAAGTAGAAAGAATGAAAGCCAACTCCATGTTCAGACACGTTTAGACGCAGATTAACTCTGTGATTATTGTAGATCAACAATGGGATTAAGTGCTGTACTGATCATGTTATCTCAAATGAACACTTGTATTCTATTTTCTATTGTTATTTTTATTTGTTTATTACATTTTTGGAGACTCCCCTATGCTGATGCAAACGGAAGAGCATTAGGGCCACATGAAACTTTTTTTTGAGGATGTGAAAAAGAAAATGTATTTGTTTTGTTCTGAGAAAATTCGACTTTAATCTCAGAATAGTTCATCGACTTGTATAACTTCCTGACACAGTAGCTGTGTATAATTTAAATGTGATTAAAAACCTCAAAATAAAACATTTTGTTTCTAATTCGTACCCTAAGAAACTGAATTTGCGAGGCCCACTTGAGGGCAGCATTTCAGCCACTATTTTTTTGACATTATTTATTGCCATAGAAAACAATAATAACAGTAACTCTTTTACATATAGGCCATTTTCTCTAATTCCCCTCCTCGACTCCTATCCTCGTGTCTTAGTCCCGCCCACAGGAGATGCGAGCGGAGGAGTCTAGGAGGGGAACCAAGGAGAGAGGAGGGGAAGCAGCAGGCGGTTAGAGAAATGAGAAACCTTCATAGTCTTAAAGTGTCTGTTTTTTAATATTAAAGGTTTTTGCAGCATTATATACAAACAAAAGGTTATAAATAGATAGTTACTTTATTTATTGGGAAAAAATGTTGTCTAGCAAAACACAAGTTAAAATGTGCATTTGACGATGGATTTACTTTCAATTGATCAATTATCTTTATTTGATTTTAAGTATTTATTTTAAGTATTTTTATAACATATAGAGAATTTATTTGTATTTGTTTAATGTTTTTGTTATTCGTCTTATTTTGTACTCTGCCATATGTCTAATGTTGGGGAACGTTCGGTTGTGTTTGTCTAATGTGATAAATCCATAAACACATACAAAATAAGATGCAAATATAATCAAAGTAAAAATGAATTTTAGCGGCAAGAAAAAATAAAACATTTTAAGCAGAAATTATATACAAATTCACAATAGGAATGACATATCAGGAGAGTATTTACATAATACACAATATAAAGTAAATATTGAATGAATTGAGTACTCAATACAGTCTCACTAAGCTACAGGAATATAAATATATACTACACACACACATATGGCATGAGATTAACCCTCCTGTTGTCTTCGGGTCAAATCTGACCGATTTACTACTTTCATCAATCAGAACTTTTTAGTTTTACATTCGATTGCATTCAGGCTTCATGATATCCTTCACAGTTCAAAGACATTTGAACATGGAAAATTGCTGATCACCACTTTCATTGCATTTTGGAGGATTTAGTCAATTTAGTAACACCCATGGTGTTCCCGGATAAAACACACACACAAACACACACACAGCAATTTGATACATTTCCCGCTCTTATGTGCCCCTCCCCCCACATGGATCACACCTGGCACACGCAATACATGTTCAGTGTCTGTTCTTTGTATATTTACTGCAGTTCTTCATGTATACCAGTATTCTGATACATTATGTACAGTTTGAAAGGGTGTGAAATGAAATGTGGTGATGATTAATGGTTTTTGTGTTAATGTAATAGCAGTTAAAACAGGGTTAGGGTTACACCAAAGTAAGGGGGGGGAACAGGAGGGTTACATACAGGGGTTAAATTGGGCCGGGGCTGTCCGGGGCTCAGCCCCGGCACATAGGACGATGCTCTGACGTCATCACCCTCGCTCATTTGTCATTTGTTTAAGCCATATGTTTAAAACATCTCTCGTTCTTAATATAGACTTTATTTAGGCTCGATATGTGTCGACTTTACTTTAAAATAGCAGATCTCTGTGAAAGGATATCGTTTTTCCGCTTAGTGAACGTGTGTCTCTGCTCCAAAGTCTGCAGCGGTGTGTGTGTGTGTGTGTGTGTGTGTGTGTGTGTGTGTGTGTGTGTGTGTGTGTGTGGTGTGTGTGTGTGTGTGTGTGTGTGTGTGTGTGTGTGTGTGTGTGTGTGTGTGTGTGTGTGTGTGTGTGTGTGTGTGTGTGGAGCGGTACCGCCAAACCCCCGACCCGTCTTGTAACACGGAGCCCGTTTCCTACACCATCAGGGCCGGATCTAACCAATGTGCTGCCCTAGGCGAGGTTTTAGCTGACCCACTTTGAAATAAGTCAAACATAGCTGCACCCTAAAAAGAGTTAACTGATTGAATTATGACTGAAGACCGTCAGCTGTCTTTCTCTTCCGTTTTTTTCCTCGATACGTAAAGGCTGCAGCACCTTTAACAACTTCTCTCTACAAATCAAACATACCGGTAAGCCAGCATCGTTTGCTGTGAAAGCGGATAACTCTGTCCACGCAGAATTAAATCCTGTGTTCCTCCAATACTTTTCTTTTCTTTGATTTATCCATAGTTCGCTCATCGAGCCAGGGGTCCGGTTATTCACCTGCAGGAAAAGGCGCTGGCGCGGGACCGTAACAGGATGTGACGCATATTTTAGTTGACCTAATTAAAACCATTTTGTTTTTTATTTATGTGTCACAGTATCACCTCAAAATACAAGATACGAAACATTTTCAACCGTGCAACAACATTTAAATAGTCCTACAAATACTTTTATTTAATTTCCTTCTTATTTATGTCTAAACTCAAGGGAGCCAGAGCAGAGGGCTTAAAGGGCCGCATGCGGCTCGAGAGCCGCGGGTTGCCGACCCCTGCTCTAGGGGGGTCCGCGGGTATGCCCCTCCGGGAAGACATTTTTGAAAATTGTAAAGTAAAATGCTTCAATCTGGTGCACTTTGAGCAGAATTACTATAGATCTACGGGGTACAACTCTAAAACACCCATATGAAAAAGATCGGTTTACATTTTAATATCCAAATATGTGAACATAACCAATAACCTACCACAGCCAATAACAAATACATTTAACTTATTTTATTTTTGTTGTTCATTCATATCTTATTTTACCTAGTTAACATTTATTTATTTATGCATATTTTTGTATCTCTCAAGTTTTAAACGATATTTTTTGGTTACTGTCCTATAGTTTACATTGAAATGATATCAAACCTTTGATCCAATGGCCTTTCCCCTCTCTGTCTGTGTCTGTGTATTCTCTTGTTCCGATTAACCCAGCCAAATCTTTGTTCTTGTTTTGTATCTATATCTACGCCGGGATCCGGAGTCGAGGCTGATCCTCTTGCTGTAGTCCTGTGTCTTGGATCCTCTATCCTGAGTTCTGGATTAAGTCGTGGACTTCGGGTCGTGGCTGAACCTGTCTCTGCGGTCCTGCCTTGGGTCTCGTCATGCTGCTTCCCTGATGGCTTCCACAGGATTGTAGCTGACATCCTCGTGGATTCATCTTCTTATTACAGACACATGCATTTCCTAACATTCGGTCTATATGCTGTAAAATGTATTATCTCTTGGATTTACACACGGCATCTATTGCACGTCTGTCCGTCCTGGGAGAGGGATCCCTCCTCTGTTGCTCTCCCTGAGGTTTCTCCCATGTCCCCTTTAAACTGTGGGTTTTCTCTGGAAGTGTTTCCTTGTACGATGTGAAGGTCTAAGGACAGAGGGTCTAAGGACAGAGGGTCTAAGGACAGAGGGTCTAAGGATAGAGGGTGTCGTTTTTCTCATACTGATATTCTGAACAATCTGTGCTGTTGTATTTGCTGTAAAGTGTCTCTACTGTAGGCTATTTTTATTATATGTACAGCACTTTGGCTCGACCAAAAATCGTTTATAAATGTGCTATATAAATAAAACTTGATTTGATTTGGTCCAAATAATTATAAAGGAGTGCCTTGGAAATATTTGTTTACATAAATTGCATTTATCTCTCCCATGCCCACTTTAGCTGTGAGCTGCGGGCGGAAAAAAAAGGCCCTGTACACCATGCTAAATGTATGTCTGCATAAAGCTGAGTTATGATCGGTCATAATAACACAGAATTTGGTGATGATTAAATAGTTTACAGTGAGAGATTTACTCCCATACTTTTGGCCATACTCACGCAGCCATACAAATGAATTGAGATTTCCACACAAATGTTCTTTAGCAAGTGTGCAGAGCAGTGTTGATTTAAAAAAGCAATTTGAAGGTTGGATATTTGTAAACCTTTTTTTGTGTATATATATGAATAATTTAAGATGTAAATGAATTCCAGTTTATTTGTAGTACTTTCTATTTTTATTGTGACATTTGGTGGCATCAATGTGTGCATTTGATACAGATAATGGAGCAGTTGCTTTTAGGGCCACAGTGTAGGCTGCTGTAATCCACTTCAAGACACTGGTACTTGCGTACCATGCTGCGAATGGATCTGGCCCTTCCTACATCCAGGACATGGTTAAACCGTACACCCCAGCGCGTGCACTCCGCTCTGCATCAGCCAAACGACTCGCTGCACCCTCGCTGCGAGGGGGACCCAAGTTCCCATCAGCAAAAACACGTGGGTTTGCTATCCTGGCTCCAAGATGGTGGAATGAGCTCCCCATTGACATCAGGACAGCAGATAGCTTACACACCTTCCGGCGCAGACTGAAAACTCATCTCTTTCGACTCCACCTCGAGCGATAGAATTGCTAACAAAGAACTGCTGACAGAGCACTTACTAATAAGGGACTGGCTTACCTAAAGCCAGTTGAGTAGCACTTGAAATGTTTGGCTCTATGAAACCTGATGTACTTATATGATTCTGTTTTCTTCAAGGTTGTGTCTTCCTGGTCGAATGCACTTATTTGAAGTCGCTTTGGACAAAAGCGTCAGCTAAATGCAATGTAATGTAATGTAGGCCTATATCCCTTAAGGTCAAATAATGAGATCCTCGACCTCCGCCCCCCTCTCACACCTCCACACAGAGCCCCCCCCATATCAAATCCCAACTCAACCCCTGGTTACATATATACAGTATACAAAAGTAAAGGAAGGAATATAAAGAAAATAGTGATTAAAAAAAGGTAACATTTAAGGTAGGCTACAATATGTTCTTCAGACACACATTGACCTGCGGCTCGCCTGCTAACGTCACTTCGCTGACTCAGGTCCGCGTCATCAGCCGCAATCTGCTCACATACTCTGCAGGTGAGTGTCGTTGCATGACTTCCACTTTTACCGCACACACAGCCTGGCGGAGGGTGCTGTTTTGCAACACTTCTAAACGATGTTTTTCCAGCAGATCAGCAAGTCTCCTCAATAATTCCTCCGACAAGTTTCAACAAGAGCCTCCTCCTTCTCCTCCTCCTCCTCCTCCTGATGCGGAGATGATGATGTAAAGAGCTTTAATCCTGGGGGTTGACACCGCCTGTTTTCTGTCTTGTTGCTCCACCTCCATCGCCTTGAATTAAAGCCGCATTTGAGGCTCCGCGAGGGCAGTTTCTCAAGAGGAAGCAGACGGGAGGCGGGTTGCTTGTGTTTAACGGAACATTTTAAAACATGGCAGAGAATAAAATGGGTCCGAACCTCCAGGCTGGAGCTGGGATCTTCGCCAAGCGGTTCCAGAAGTCTTTGAACCGAGCTCAGGAGAAGGTGAGCCATGGAAATCAAACTTTCTTCAACTTTCTTAGGGTGCGTTTAACCTAAGAACTGCACCCTAGAAGCACTGTCATGAGTTTGGTGAGATAACACAGACTTCTTCTAGCCTTTGCCCAGCTTCACCCTGTGGTAACTCACCAAACGCCCTATTGCTATGGTAAACACACTTTTTCAAGATGACTGTAAGGAAATAGATTATTTTACATGTCTGAAAGGGGTGTATCTTCAAGTTTAAGATGTAAAACAAGCTGCTTCTTCATGGGAAAATAGCTGTGTATAATTAAAATGTACATAAGTGTACAAACACGGAGACTCTTTTTGATGCACATAGTTCATATTTGTTGTATCTTCTCCAGAATATATATCAGACATTAATAAAGACTGAGTATCGTCTGGTCTAAGATATAACATAAGGCAAGCTGCTCCTTCAGAGGAAAGAAAGGTTGATTATAGCTATTGGTTACACTAGAAATTGGCAAACGCTTCTCAAGAATACCTACTGCTCTGTCGCAACTGTTGCTTTCACAATCTACTGTCCTGTCATGCAGCTCTGTAACAACTCAAAACTCATAATGAAATGCTCCAGATGAGAGGATAACATCATGTCAAGCCTATTAGCTTAACCTGATTATAACGGAGTGTAAAAGTGTTATCAGGGAGAAGGAGAAGCAGACAGGAAACCACTTTTTTTTTTAATTTACTGAATGTTTTGAACTCTTATATTTGCTGATGCATTAATGAAAACATTAGTGTGGAGTTTCCCAGGCTGAGCATCGTAGTGTTTTTCAGCTGTGTGCGGACACAAAAGCTGCCACTTCCTGTCTGTGCACTTCCTCTCGCTTGCTGAGCTCTTCTCTCTCACTTTGTGGTCGACTTGTTTAATGTTCACTGCTCCACCTTAAAGTAGCAGCTACTCAAAGTGTGCATGGACTGCTGGAGTTGCAAGGTCGATTTTGGGGGCGTCCATTTCTCATAAATGGGAGGATAGACCTGATAATGAGAGCCTTTGTTGCAGATTTAACATTAAAGGTCATGCATTGTAGCGTTCAGGATTCTGTGGACTGTGAAGGACACAGTAACAATTAGCGCCATGTGTGTCAAGTTCAAGGCCAGGTTGGAGTATGTGCCTCAGTATATGGAGCACTAATCTGTTATTATTAAAATATGCTAAATCTGCTGGGCCTATTTGATCCCTGTTTATTCTGACAATGATTGGACCAATAATCTGCTTTGGCATTTGTTTATAGCACCTTCTAATTGGCCGAAATGTACATTATATTACATTTGTTAGACGCTTTTATCCAAAGCGACTTACATACTCAATACTGTGGGCAATCCCCACAGGAGCACTTTGGGGTGAAGTGTCTCAGGGACACAACGACATGTTGACTGCAGTGGGGTTTGAACCTGTGCCCCCCTGATCCCAACACCAACCCACTGCGCCACACGCCTCCGTGCAATAAGCTTTTATGGACCCAAGTATCTGCCCCGGCATTAAAAATCATTCCAACAATTAGGCATTGCACACTTTTAGTCAGTTATTGTTCTTTCTTGACCAATCCTGTTGCCTACATTACCCACAATGCAATTGGACTGCAGACCGTTTGGCCAGTGATTTGGGTGGGTTGTCCTAGACGAAGAGCAGACTACTGCTGTTAAGTTGTGTTCAGCGCCGGATTTCATTCGGACGGCACCGCTTCAATACAAAGTCAATGCAGAGACGTAAAAAAATACATTTGAGCCTTGTGACAAAAATGCATCCGATGATTCATCCGCATGAGTGGAAATGTGTTGGCTTTGAAGAATAATTACTGTTACACTCCCTCTGACGTCGCCAAGAGTCTGTAATGGAGGACACACTTATTGTTGACGCTTGCAGAAATGATTCCAAAGTCAATACTTTACAGACCCAAGGATAGGGCCAGGAGGACACTCAGCAAAAGTGGTTATTTGGGTCTTGGTTGCTGTTGGCAATACATGTTGCTAAGGTATGTGGTGCCTCTTTCCTTTTCTGAAGGAGTACTACAATTGGCTGTCGAGGGTCAAAATGTGTAAGTAAATACTTTCCAAAGCTGTTTTCCAGGCAAAAACAACACGCTGTCTTGAACCCCGATATAAACTGAGATCACTTGATGACATTTATCAGATCATGTGCGACTCATTCTTTCCCCATATGCAGTTGTGCCCCTGTAAACCAACATTGATGTGTAAAGCTGTTGGAGTTCCTCTTTAATAAGTCTCCCTCTAGTAATCATGAATGCTATGTCTGTGATGTGAAACTCACCGTGCCGTCCTCTCTCAGGTCCTTCAAAAACTGGGCAAAACCATGGAGACCAAGGACGAACAGTTCGAGGTGTGCGTTCAGAGCCTCAACAAACAACAGGTAACTTTTTAACACAAGCAACAGGTCTCTCTCTCACTACTGGACCCAAATATAGGTCTAGTACATTGCTTGCTTTATTCCAACAGCTCATTTGATCCCCCTTACCAAACATTCCCGTTAAAAAAGTGTTTTGTTTTTGCTGCCAGTTCACACAATCAGCTCAACACTTGTTGTTTTCCTGCATATACAGCTTGTCATTTCTCCTCATGGCCATAAGCTTGTTTGCTTATGTTAGTAAACTTGTCATGGTTATAGAGTGGTGCAGGCATGAGTCCTTAAACCTGGAAAGGAGTTGGCATGTTAACATTTCTGGCTCTCTTGTGTTGAAGTCAAAACAATTTTGAATGTGTTTTTGGTTACAAGGTCTGAGGTTAACACAAGTTCACGAGATGGCCTACACCGTAAAATATGTCACTAGATACCCCACTTGTGAATGTCATGAAAACCACTGTTACTAAATAAACTAAACGTCATCAAGCTGTCCTTAGCCGCCTTTAGCTTAGCGGTGGAGACGTGACCATTCAAACCATGGTGTAGGTTGTTTGCCTCGTTATCTTTTTGCTAGTTTGTGGAGATTATCCTGCTGAATAAAAAAGTAAATGTAATGTCAGGGTTGAACGTGTGTTTGCCAAAGGCCTTATGTTCTGCAATTTTCCAAATATTCAAAGGGAAAATCCCCTAGCTTTTCGTTGAGGAAGCCTTTTGTGATGCTAATATCCAGGTCGACCTACAGCAATACTTCATCACTGCACCACCTCATTACTAGAATTTCCCCACAGGGATTAATAAAGGTCCATCTCATCTTACAATCAATGGTAATGACTGAAAAAGCACATAACTTAATGTCTCATTTCTACTTGTGCCACTGTTTTAGCATTCTTGATCCTCCTGTTACCACTTTTACTTCAGTTCGACCAAAGGTTCACTTTTAGGTTCCTCAAGCTCATTCAGTGTTGAATGCAACACTACTGTAGATGTTGCAGCGAAACTGACAACAGGAAGGAAGTCTGCATGCTCACAAGACACGCTGCTTTCACTTCACCACCGCTATTGCCACATTTAAAAGTTGTGATTGATATTTAATTTAAACTCCACACTGTGGTAAAACAACCATATATTGCACATTGAATGCATCTTGGGGTCTAGAAAAAGCATTCCTGTTCACAGAGTCCCCGAAAACACACTGATTTCAACACGAGGGTGAAGGAAATGACGACGCATAAATGACTCGAATCTGCTGAACAGATACCGTTACTAGGTGTCACCAAGTGTTTGACTCATTTGTTTTTCTGCTTTGTAGGGTGACGGCAACAGGCTGTTTAAAGATGTCAAAGCCTACCATGCAGCAGTGAAAGGTAATGAAGGCATTCACAGAACACATCACATTGCCAAAGGAGTTAGTGAATCAAAGGGGAAGTGGATCTTTCTATTCTTGGACGCTGTGTCAACTTTCACAATTCTGTGTGTGTTGCCATGTTCGAAAAGGACAAATAAAAGTCATGCAGGGAAAATGGCAGATGCAGCTTTGTGGTTCATGTGGAAGAAGCCGCGGTGTTTCTTTGGATGTCAGCTCTTGCTCCTGCATCGTCAGGAAACCAGTGTTTTTCTGACCTTCTCAGTGTGTGTGTAGCAGCAGAGCCACAAACCATAAACTCAATAGCCTCACAATGCATTGCACAGCTGATTCTGGCTGATAAGGTCCTTACTGTATGGAGTCTTGATTACATTTCTTTATTTTCTCCCACAATTCCCTCTTCCTCTCCACAGCCATGCATGACACGTCCAAGCGTTTGTCCCAGACGCTGCGGGAGGTCTACGAGCCGGAGTGGAACGGAGTGGAGGACTTCGCTGTCATCACAGAGGTATGATCAGAGATGGCAAAAGTACACACATCCTTTACTCAAGTAGAAGTACAGATATGTTTAAAAATACTCTGGTAGAAGTACTGACTAAACTTCTTTACTCAAGTCAAAGTAAAGAGGCTTTGAAATGTACTTCAGTAAAAAGTACCCATAACTAGCAGCTGCTTTAAAGAGTACCTGACCTCCCTTTATATTAATAGAACAATAATGTCATTGTTAGCTAATGAATGTTTCCATGCTGAACAACGGCAACATGACAACGTTTCCATTGGTCCCTCTTCTTTAGAGAAGACCAGGAAATGATGGATACACGGATCATGTTCAAATCAATAGGCACGCAATGACTCTAAAGAATAATGATCACGCATCAAACACACATTCAGACTAAAGGAACCAGCTGTTTGGAAAATGAGAGAAGTAGAAAGTACAAGTATTTGTGTTCAACATGTAAGAAGTAGAAAGTACAGGTATTTGAGTTCAACATGTAAGAAGTAGAAAGTACAGGTATTTGAGTTCAACATGTAAGAAGTAGAAAGTACAGGTATTTGAGTTCAACATGTAAGAAGTAGAAAGTACAGGTATTTGAGTTCAACATGTGAGAAGTAGAAAGTACAGGTATTTGAGTTCAACATGTAAGAAGTAGAAAGTACAGGTATTTGTGTTCAACATGTAAGAAGTAGAAAGTACAGGTATTTGAGTTCAACATGTAAGAAGTAGAAAGTACAGGTATTTGAGTTCAACATGTAAGAAGTAGAAAGTACAGGTATTTGTGTTCAACATGTAAGAAGTAGAAAGTACAGGTATTTGAGTTCAACATGTAAGAAGTAGAAAGTACAGGTATTTGAGTTTCAACATGTAAGAAGTAGAAAGTACAGGTATTTGTGTTCAACATGTAAGAAGTAGAAAGTACAGGTATTTGTGTTCAACATGTAAGAAGTAGAAAGTACAGGTATTTGTGTTCAACATGTAAGAAGTAGAAAGTACAGGTATTTGAGTTCAACATGTAAGAAGTAGAAAGTACAGGTATTTGTGTTCAACATGTAAGAAGTAGAAAGTACAGGTATTTGGGTTCAACATGTAAGAAGTAGAAAGTACAGGTATTTGAGTTCAACATGTAAGAAGTAGAAAGTACAGGTATTTGTGTTCAACATGTAAGAAGTAGAAAGTACAGGTATTTGAGTTCAACATGTAAGAAGTAGAAAGTACAGGTATTTGGGTTCAACATGTAAGAAGTAGAAAGTACAGGTATTTGGGTTCAAAATGTAAGAAGTAAGTACAGTAAGGAAGTATTTGTACTCCACTACTTCCCACCTCTGGGTATGATGTGTTTGTTTGAACAGTAACATGAGGGTTGCTCCTTAAGGCCAGGTCATTGGATAAAAAGGCTTTTACTTTAGCAGGTGGGTCTTGCATTCGGAAAAAGTGGTTTCACCAAGCAGTTTTTGCAGATTTTCAGTTTCTGTTAAAAACCCCCAATTCCCAACCCTAACTCTAACCCAATTCACCAGCAGGTTCATATGCAAGTACACATGTAAGTGGAAAGTGGAGTTTCTCTCTCCAAGCCATACTTCTCCATTTCAGCAGCCCTTACCCACACACAACCGTTTTATTTACTTGTATGACTTTCAATAGTTTTGTGGTTTTATCATTTGGGGTGACACAGCGGTATAAACAAAGGTTGCCTCTTATAGGTCAACAAAAGTGAAACAAGAATTTCTAACCTGGCATCGTCCAAAGTTAACATTTCTGTTGTTGTTGTTGCAATGTATGCAAATCAGCAAGTATTTAGTAAGAGATTGCAGAACATAACATTTAAAACACTTCCAATAAAAGAAGAACCCCTAACGTAAGTAATCAACCTAGAAAATCCTCATATTGATGATTTTTTAAAATACAAATTTCAACCACATTCACCTTAATTCTTCAAACACATTGTGCAACATATTCATATCGTTATTCTAAGAAGTCATGTATTTATTGACTCTGGTTGCAGTCACATTGATGTGATGTGATCCCAACTGTGTCTCTTAGAGTGAAGACTTGCTGTGGAACGACTACGAAGAGAAGCTCAGTGACCAGATCGTCCGCACCATGGAGAACTACACCAGCCAGTTCCCAGAGGTCAAGGTAACCTGAGGCTTTGTACCTTTTACACCAGTTCCTTGGGGCCTCTGAGAGAACATCCGTCTGATTTGAATGACACCCATGGAGATCATCTACCTTTTATAACTAAAGAAACTCTTGTGTGTGTTTTTAGGAACGAGTTGGTAAACGCGGCAGAAAGCTGGTGGACTACGATTCAGCCCGTCACCACCTGGAGGCGCTGCAGAGTGCCAAGAAGAAGGATGAAGCCAAAATAACAAAGGTAGAATAAGCTAGTGATGGGAATTACGGCTCTTTGAAGGGAGCCGGATCTTATGGCTCCGTTCCTCTCCGAGAGCCGTTCAAAAGAGACGGTTTTTTTAAGGGGGCGGGGCTAATAGGTTTATCTGCGAAATAATCACCAGGATAATATTGACTGTATTGCCAGAAATCTACTTTTGTATAACTTGCTACATCTCTCAGCCAGCCAAACTACTACTCAAGCAGCATGCGTTATGCCATCAGTGCTTCTCAAAGTGTGGTCCGTGGACCACTGGTGGGCCGTGAGCGCCCCCTAGTGGTCCGTGAGTATATTGGTACAATTTCACATTTTAAATAAATTAATAAATTAAAGTTTTACGCACTCTCGCGGGAATATCTCCGCAATGGAGCGAGCTTAGTTTCACTTTCGATTGCATGATATAGCCCAGCGCAACACCTTCATCACACATGTTGCCACTTGTTTGTACCATTTTCAGGCGATTTGTAATCTATTCTAGAAAAACTATGTGATTTTGGATATTTGTGGAGTTAGGTGGTCCGCGAGTGTTTTTTTATTGGTTAAGTGTCCTTGGTATGAAAAAGTTTGAGAAACACTGATCTACAGCAACTTTGCATTCAGGAGAGCAAGTTCCTTTAAAGGCGATTTATGGCAGGCAGTGAACCAACGATAAAAAGAACCCGGTTCCCTTCGTTCATACCAAAGAGCCGTTCAAAAGAATCAGATCGTTCGTCAACGTCACATCACTAGAATAAGCATTATAGTCAATAAGTGGTGGCAGACAGTCAAAGTCAACTTTATTGTCAATCTTTCAGTTTGTGTAGACAGAGAGATCGAAATGCCGTTTCCCACAATCCCGAATATAAAAATACAAATATGTATCCTACATATACACAATCAACAGACACATGTATACATATGCACACATTAGACATAAATAAAAGCACAACAGTCAATATGTACAAAGTAACAGTCACTTCAATAACCTTGAGAAATGTGCATTAGTGCAAGACTGGATTAGTTTGCAAGTATTTGAATGATGTTCTTTTGGATCCTCTTCAACAGGCGGATGAAGAGTTCAACAAAAGCCAGAATGTCTTTGAGGAGATAAACACCGAGCTGAGGGAGGAGCTGCCTGTCCTCTATCAGAGGTAAGGTTATCATGAACTCATAGATAACACTTGGCCAAAACGTCCCAGTTTTCCGGGCAGAGTCCCCGTTTTCGGTGGCCGGTACCCGGTTGAAACTCCCGAAAATGTTCCCGTTTTTGAACGTGCGTTAAAAAAAATAGAGCAAGGTGAAATCAAATGTTATATGTCAGTAAACACAGAGTAACAGTGTTGTGCCTGTTTGTAACGTTAGCGTATTTCTTCTTCTACTACTTCTTCTTTTTTGTTTAATGGCGAATCGCTTCAGCTTGGAGCATATATCGCCACCTACTGTTGATTTATTAAATGTTTATATTAAATCCTTGTCCTCAGACCAGTGTTTTTGAGGAACTTGAAGATCAGCTTGTTTACTTGATATCTTGATTTACTTTTGTATATTGACTTGAAATCCATGTCCTTGATGTTATGTTGTTCCAGTGCAGTTTTCAGAATGAGTCTGTTATAATCCGGGCAGCTAAAAAATACATGATGTAATTGTTCTCCCCAATTTTCGCCGCCCCCGATGGGTTGATGCACCCTTAGCATTCGCCTATACTGCCTATGCCAAGGCCGGCCCTGGTGAAAACAATGACATCAGCAAAAAATAAGACAGACAACTACAGATGGCACCACACATGATGGTTACTTGTTATTATTTAGGGCTGCCTGTATGGATCAGGTTTTTGCCAAAGCGAGCCCTTTTACTAGAATAATAATATGTTATGTATTATATCAACCGTATTGGTACAATGAGCGACATCTAGTGACGGATTTTGGAACATTGATTTGATTTTTCTCATGGCAGTTAGACTCTAGAGACAAACCAGGGGACTTTATGTTTATTTTTAATCTGTGTCTGTCCATTTGGTGTAGTGTTTGATCCAATATTACATTAGGTTTATATATTAGTCACTTTCTTATGAAAGGCCAGGTTTTAGGCCTTGATTTGAACATTCAATCCTGAAAATAAAAAATCAACCAGATTAATGTTTCTTTAATCCTGACCTGACTAGATGTAAGTAGATCTGTATAGGAAGACGAGTTAAGGGATAGAGGAGAAAAGGTTATGGTATAATTACAGAGCCTGTCCATTTATAAATTGAGGAAATCAATGTTAGTCTGTTAACCAAAGTGTAGCCATCTATCAACTATCTACTATCTGTTATTAAAGATCAGAGGAAAAGAACAGAACGAGAGGGGTAAATCCGGAATAAAAATAAAGAAGCAAAGAGATTGTAGAGCAGTGAGAAGGAAAAAAGCTCGGTGTGTCAATTCATTACATTTCCAGTATTTTTCGTTGTTGTGAAAAAAAATCGCCCCCTCTGATTTTTTAACAGCCCCCTCAGTCATTTCATCCTGGAGCCGGGCCTGGTCTGTTGTTGTCAAAAGGCTGTATAAACACTGCCTAACTTGCTAATACACTATATATTGTAGAAATGATATTGCGTTTGGAGTGTATGGAGAAAGTAAAACTCGTATAAATAAACAAAACATGAAGGCTTTAAGTCCGGATAAAACGAGGCAGTGTCTGTCTTCAGCCTCTGGTGGCCAAAATGAGCACTTTTTTAATCTGTTCTTAAATCATAAGCAAATAGGAAAACACTTATTAAATCCAACATGAAACATTTATCACCAGAAGAAAATATGTTTCAGTTTGCTCTCAGTCTCTCGAAAACGCATGCGTTAGATATCTAAATGTCCAAATCGGGCCTGTAAGATTTACAGCAAAATGTCTTCAAAGACACATTTTACAGAACGTGCATATGACCTCTTGATGTTTTACTCAGAAGGGATATGAGATTGAAGTGAAAGATGAACTGAGAGCTATTTTTGTGTCTGTAGCCGGATAGGTTGCTATGTGACGGTGTTCCAAAATATATCCAACCTGAGAGACGTCTTCTACAAGGAAATGAGCGTGGTGAGAAAAGACATAATGTCCTCACTGTCATACTAGTGATGTGCTCTTGCTTGTTTAAATGATATTGATGTTAGTGTGTGTTATGTCGTGTTGCAGCTGAACCATGAGCTGTACAATGTGATGAAGAAACTGGAGACTCAACACTCAGGGAAAGCTTTCATCATCAAGGGTCTGCACAGGTGAGGCTGGGGTTATTAAAGTGTTCCCAACACGAATGTATTTACTGGTAACTTGCATTCATAGTGCTGCCTTTCTGCTACTGTGTTTTCATAATAATGGAGTACTGTTGCAATTTACAGGTGGATTTATAAAAGGCAGAATAGCTTTATTGTCCTCATACAACATTTCGTAGGCGTCTCTCAATGCAGTCCAATAAATGGGCACAATAAATAAAAGCAGCAATGAGAAGGCACTACTTAGATTAAATTGAATTAAATGTATATTTACACTTTTCACAGACAACAAAATGTTAAATAATACTGGGTATTCATAAAAAGATGCAAAAATGAACCTTGAATGCTTTTAAAGGGGACCTATTATACAAAATCCTCTTCTTCATGTCTCTTCTACATCAACATGTGTCCCCTCTTCTTCATGTCTCTTCTACATCAACATGTGTCCCCTCTTCTTCACGTCTCTTCTACATCAACATGTGTCCCCTCTTCTTCATGTCTCTTCTTTCATCAACATGTGTCCCCTCTTCTTCATGTCTCTTCTTCATCAACATGTGTCTCTTCTTCATCAACATGTGTCCCCTCTTCTTCATGTCTCTTCTACATCAACATGTGTCCCCTCTTCTTCATGTCTCTTCTACATCAACATGTGTCCCCTCTTCTTCATGTCTCTTCTACATCAACATGTGTCCCCTCTTCTTCATGTCTCTTCTTCATCAACATGTGTCTCTTCTTCATCAACATGTGTCCCCTCTTCTTCACGTCTCTTCTACATCAACATGTGTCCCCTCTTCTTCACGTCTCTTCTACATCAACATGTGTCCCCTCTTCTTCATGTCTCTTCTACATCAACATGTGTCCCCTCTTCTTCATGTCTCTCTACATCAACATGTGTCCCCTCTTCTTCATGTCTCTTCTACATCAACATGTGTCCCCTCTTCTTCATGTCTCTTCTACATCAACATGTGTCCCCTCTTCCTCATGTCTCTTCTACATCAACATGTGTCCCCTCTTCTCTCATGTCTCTTCTACATCAACATGTGTCCCCTCTTCTTCATGTCTCTTCTACATCAACATGTGTCCCCTCTTCTTCATGTCTCTTCTACATCAACATGTGTCCCCTTCTTCTTCATGTCTCTTCTACATCAACATGTGTCCCCTCTTCTTCATGTCTCTTCTACATCAACATGTGTCCCCTCTTCCTCATGTCTCTTCTACATCAACATGTGTCCCCTCTTCTCCCATGTCTCTTCTACATCAACATGTGTCCCCTCTTCTCCATGTCTCTTCTACATCAACATGTGTCCCCTCTTCTTCATGTCTCTTCTACATCAACATGTGTCCCCCTCTTCTTCATGTCTCTTCTACATCAACATGTTGTCCCCTCTTCTTCATGTCTCTTCTACATCAACATGTGTCCCCTCTTCTTCATGTCTCTTCTACATCAACATGTGTCCCCTCTTCTTTCATGTCTCTTCTACATCACATGTGTCCCCTCTTCTTCTTTCTTCATGTCTCTTCTACATTCAAACATGGTGTCCCCTCTTCTTCATGTCTCTTCTACATCAACATGTGTCCCTCTTCTTCCATGTCTCTTCTACATCAACATGTGTCCCCTCTTCTCATGTCTCTTCTACATCACATGTGTCCCCTCTTCTTCATGTCTCTTCTACATCACATGTGTCCCCTCTTCTTCATGGTCTCTTCTACATCAACAGTTGTCCCCTCTTCTTCATGTCTCTTCTACATCAACATGTGTCCTGTCCCCCTCTTCTTCATGTCTCTTCTACATCAAACATGTGTCCCCTCTTCTCATGTCTCTTCTACATCAACATGTGTCCCCTCTTCTTCATGTCTCTTCTACATCAACATGGTCCCTCTCTTCTTCATGTCTCTTTCTTACATCAACATGTGTCCCCTCTTCTTCATTGTCTCTTCTACATCAACATGTGTCCCCCTCTTCTTCATGTCTCTTCTACATCAACATGTGTCCCCTCTTCTTCATGTCTCTTCTACTTCAACATGTGTCCCCTCTTCTTCATTGTCTCTTCTACATCACATGTGTCCCCTCTTCTTCATGTCTCTTCTACATCAACATGTGTCCCCTCTTCTTCATGTCTCTTCTACAACTCACACATGTGTCCCCTCTTTTTCATGTCTCTTCTACATAACAGCTGTCCCCCTCTCTTCACGTCTCTTCTACATCAACATGTGTCCCCCTCATTCTTCACACTTCACGTCTTCTCACTCTACACATCAACATGTGTCCCCTCTTCTTCACGTCTCTTCTACATCAACAGGTGTCCCCTCTTCTTCACGTCTCTTCTATCATCAACATGTGTCCCCTCTTCTTCACGTCTCTTTCTACATCAACATGTGTCCCCTCTTCTTCACGTCTCTTCTACATCAACATGTGTCCCCCTCTTCTTCACGTCTCTTCTACTACAACATGTGTCCCATCTTCTTCATGTCTCTTCTACATCAACATGTGGTCCCCTCTTCTTCATGTCTCCTCTACATCAACATGTGTCCACTCTTCTTCACGTCTCTTCTACATCAACATGTGTCCCCTCTTCTTCATGTCTCTTCTACATCAACATGTGTCCCATCTTGTTCATGTCTCTTCTACATCAAACATGTGTCCCCCTCTTCTTCATGTCTCTTCTACATCAACATGTGTCCCCTCTTCTTCACGTCTCTTCTACATCAACATGTGTCCCATCTTCTTCATGTCTCTTCTACATCAACATGTGTCCCCTCTTCTTCATGTCTCTTCTACATCAACATGTGTCCCCTCTTCTTCATGTCTCTTCTACATCAACATGTGTCCCCTCTTCTTCATGTCTCTTCTACATCAACATGTGTCCCCTCTTCTTCATGTCTCTTCTACATCAACATGTGTCCCCTCTTCTTCATGTCTCTTCTACATCAACATGTGTCCCCTCTTCTTCATGTCTCTTCTACATCAACATGGTCCCCTCTTCTTCATGTCTCTTCTACATCAACATGTGTCCCCTCTCTTCTTCATGTTCTCTTCTTCATCAACATGTGTCCCCTCTTCTTCATGTCTCTTTTACATCAACATGTGTCCCCTCTTCTTCATGTCTCTTCTACCTCAACATGTGTCCCCTCTTCTTCATGTCTCTTCTACATCAACATGTGTCGTCTCTTCTACATCAACATGTGTCCCCTCTTCTTCATGTCTCTTCTACATCAACACGTGTCGTCTCTTCTTCATGTCTCTTCTTCATCAACATGTGTCCCCTCTTCTTCATGTCTCTTCTACATCAACATGTGTCCCCTCTTCTTCATGTCTCTTCTACATCAACACGTGTCCCCTCTTCTTCATGTCTCTTCTACATCAACATGTGTCCCCTCTTCTTCATGTCTCTTCTACATCAACATGTGTCCCCTCTTCTTCATGTCTCTTCTACATCAACATGTGTCCCCTCTTCTTCATGTCTCTTCTACATCAACATGTGTCCCCTCTTCTTCATGTCTCTTCTACATCAACATGTGTCGTCTCTTCTACATCAACATGTGTCCCCTCTTCTTCATGTCTCTTCTCCATCAACATGTGTCCCCTCTTCTTCATGTCTCTTCTACATCAACACGTGTCCCCTCTTCTTCATGTCTCTTCTCCATCAACATGTGTCCCCTCTTCTTCATGTCTCTTCTACATCAACATGTGTCCCCTCTTCTTCATGTCTCTTCTCATCAAACATGTGTCCCCTCTTCTTCATGTCTCTTCTACATCAACACGTGTCCCCTCTTCTTCATGTCTCTTCTACATCAACACGTGTCCCCCTCTTCTTCATGTCTCTTCTACATCAACACGTGTCCCCTCTTCTTCATGTCTCTTCTACATCAACATGTGTCCCCTCTTCTTCATGTCTCTTCTACATCAACATGTGTCCCCTCTTCTTCATGTCTCTTCTACATCAACATGTGTCCCCTCTTCTTCATGTCTCTTCTACATCAACACGTGTCCCCTCTTCCTCATGTCTCTTCTACATCAACATGTGTCCCCTCTTCTTCATGTCTCTTCTACATCAACATGTGTCCCCTCTTCTTCATGTCTCTTCTACATCAACACGTGTCCCCTCTTCTTCATGTCTCTTCTACATCAACATGTGTCCCCTCTTCCTCATGTATCTTCTACATCAACATGTGTCCCCTCTTCTCCATGTCTCTTCTACATCAACATGTGTCCCCTCTTCTTCATGTCTCTTCTACATCAACATGTGTCCCCTCTTCTTCTTGTCTCTTCTACATCAACATGTGTCCCCTCTTCTCCATGTCTCTTCTACATCAACATGTGTCCCCTCTTCTTCATGTCTCTTCTACATCAACATGTGTCCCCTCTTCTTCATGTCTCTTCTACATCAACATGTGTCCCCTCTGTGTAAAGAGACTGAAAGTTTCAGGAACAAAGATTCTCTCTCTTTTTGATCCATTTCTATAAAAACCTGTCTGAAAATGAGCTGATCAGATTTTGGCCACTTTATGATGTCATAACGATGTTTTGGCTTGTGTAACCATTAGCCAATCAGCAACCAAGGTAACCCCCCCCCCCCCCTTATCACCTGAATCTCCTCCTAGAGCACCATTGAGTTCTTTGTAACCAAATGTCTCTCAGAGGGGCGTGGGGAGGGGCTCCTTCTTTTCATCTAAAGTACCAGACAGAGAATCAGCACTTTGGAAACAGGGCTGAAACAGAGGGGATTATGGGTAATGCTGCAATGATCTGTTTGGTGTTTGGAGCCAAACACTTCAGAGACATGTTCTGTATCTGAGACCTGTGATATATTGATGAAAAACAGTATAATAGGTGACCTTTTTAAATATGCTAAAATTAACCTTGAATGCTTAAAAAAAGGTCCAACTATGTTTTATTTTCTTCAAATAGCAGTACAAGCAAGGCCAAGAAGAGGAAGTCTCTGGTTATCTCCAACCCCATCCCCTGCAACACAGCCTTCCCCACGGACCACGTCTCCCTCCATACAGCAGACGGAGAAAATGGAAAAGACACCGTCATGGGATCAGGGGAAAACGCTGCGTCGTCGTCCAAAGACTCGTCGGACTCTGAGTTCAGCTCCAGCGGCAGCAACTCTCCTCAGAGGCAGTCGGTGTGTGAGCAGGAGGAAACAGAGAGTCTGAATCAAGAGGAGGTGGAGGTGGAAGACGAACTCGCTGAAAACCAGTCCGATGACTCTGGGGTCGGGGTGCCGAAATCAGAGGCTGCCAATCAAGAAGTGTCTGAACCCTGTGATGCTGCAGAAAGTGAACTACAGGAGGAGAAGGATGAAGAGGAAGTGGAGGAGGAAGTAGTGAGTGAGGCACCATCATCAAAAGAGATGGGGAAACCCAAAGCTCCACCTGTTCCCACCCCTCGAGTCTCCTTCCACTGCACAGATAAACCTCCACTGTTACCCGCTAAGGAGCAGGAGGAGGAGACAGAGGAGGCTTCAGACAACCAGGAGAAGGCTGACTCTGGAGAGGACTCCACTTCCCACAATCCACCTGGCTTCCTGTACAAGGTATATATTTTGTATTAATCAGAATCATAAAAACAAAAATGTGACTGTTTTCCATTTAAGAATGAATAAGATAACATATATTATATTAACATAACATTTTAAATAATACGTCCAATAAAGATACATAACAATCATTAAATATTATATTAAATACTAGAAGTCACAAGTGCCTGATGGATTTAACCCTTATGCGTCACCACGGATATTTTTTGGCTTTCTTATTTAATATTATATTATTATATTCTGTGTTAAGACATTTGGCATACATTTTGTATTTGTTTAATTTTTTTTTATTATTACAGAATTTTTTTCCGAGTTTAGGTCGTTGTTTAAATGTATGTAGCTACGTAAGATAAAGACTAAAATGTCCACATTAAAACCAGTTATTTGATCCCATGGCAGCATGAAATCACACATTTAACTTGATCAGGCTTTACGTCTCGATCACTGCCTTTTTTTTCAATTGTAGTTTTTACTGTAATCTACCAGGTTCAGATATGTTGTCCTATGGTCCAATGCATGCAACTCTTAGATGTCTCCAAACCTAGAAAACGTTTGTAATTTAAATGTAGTTCAAACTAATCTGTTTCTTACCAGAGGGTGGCGCTAGAGAGCCATGCAGCGTCTGAGGACGGCACGCTGCAGTTTGAACAGGGTGACGTCATCCTGGTGCTCGATGACACTCAACAGGTTGGTGGGTTTTTGTAAAGATCACTTTTTGTGGAAGATTACACAAAACAGGAAATCACACCAAATTAAATCCTCACACTCTGATCAGAGGTCGTACTTGTTCTTTAACGTGTGTGTGTGTGTGTGTGTGTGTGTGTGTGTGTGTGTGTGTGTGTGTGTGTGTGTGTGTGTGTGTGTGTGTTGCAGGAGGGTCTGCTGAGGGGGATAAGGGAGGAGAGCTGGAAGCAGAACCAAGATCTTAAACACTCTGGGATCTTCTCGGAAAAACTCCTCCAGCCTGAGAAGGACGAGTGAGGCCACCGTCTTTCCTCTGTTATACTTTCTCATTTTGTTATGTCAAGCAGTGGGACACACACACACACACACACAGAGGGAGTGATCTCATATGTTGTGTATGTGAGCTGTGAAAACAGATGGCCTCACATGATGCGATGTTGCAACTCGTGGAACAAAAATGAGCTTCAGAACATTTCCTAAGACCTTGGATTGTTAAATGTTACAGTATTTTACTCTTATTGTATTTTTAAGTCTTTCTGTGAAACACTGTGAAACAAAATGTCTTTTTTTTTTTTTATACCAATGCTGTGATCTTGTGTAAAATGTCCAATAAAGTTCTAGATTAAAGGGAAGTGTGTCAGTCTGTTTTAAATCATGCCGGTTTGAATTCAGCAAGGTTCTGCTTTGGGTCCTATATTTAGCTGATTTTCGGATATTTAAAAAGCAGATATAATAACGTGCATTTTGTGTGAATAAAGAGAAATTGTCGCTGGAGATAATATCTCAAGTCTGAGCTTGTGAAAGATCACAATGATTCACCACCAAGGAATGTGAAATATTGTCAGGATCTGGAAAACACAGCGACTGTGAAGAGTTTACAGGAGAAAGGTCTGTCTTATGAAACTAACGAGTGGCGGCTCGCTTTAAGGTGATACGGTTCTAGTGTGTGGAAATGAGAACCTGTGTGTCACTTTGTACGCATCAGCAGAATGTCATCAGGTTCAAACCTTATACAGTCTATGGTTCAAACTCATTTACACACTAACCTAAAGCCACATAAACACAACACACAGAAAACAACTCGATCAAGGATTAGCTCATGTAATTAACAATCAAGGAAGTAAAACAAAAAGATAACTGTTTAAACGCAAAACACCAAATTAACATTCAAACAATAACTTGAAAATGAACAACACACTTATAGAGTGGTGCAGGATGACGTATTTACCCGGAAGTAAGCTGCATGGGTTCCCTCGACAAAAAGCAACGGGATTTCTCCATAGGATTTTGGAAAATAGTTGGAAATAATGTCTGTGGAAAACAAACCTGTTTGATAAATGCACGTTTTGTTCAGCCGGATAATCTCCACATGTCTACCCTACTTTTATAATTTTCAAATCATAAATCTAATCGCCAGCAAAATGCTAACGTTATGCTATAAAGGAACTACAGCCGAGTACAGCAGCACGACTTCAACGTTACGCAAATTTAAGATCCATATTCAAACACACAGATTCTAAAGGGTACGAAGCGTTTGTTTGAACGGTTTGCAGGAGGCAGGGACTTGGGGCAAACAAATTTAGGAGTGTTTACGTGTTCGGCGTAATGACGTACAACGGCCTCAATTTCTGTAGTCCTATTCAGCCACTCGGTAACAACCATCGTTTTTCAGACACGTCAACTCTTCAATAATCACCAGTGGGGTCATTGCTCATGTATTTAATGTCTAGGAACAAAACGTTATCCGTCTCTTAAATGTGTCTCAACCACAGACCTTAGTTCAGCCAGTTTCCAATGGAGAAATCCCATTGGCTCTGAGACCAGGGAACAGGAAGTGGTGAAATGCTGACTCAATTCTGGGTTTTAGGACTCGTCACTGCACCACTCTGAGACATAAATAGTCATTCATGACACACATAAGTCCTTGCCTGAAATGACCTTAAATTGTACATGTATCTATCCTATCCTTTCAGACATATTACAGTCCAGAAAATAGAGTATTGAAGACAACATAATATACAAATCTGCCGAGGGACAATTCCACCAAAATAGGTGTTTCTATCACCATAACTCAGTTTATAGAGCAGCACATGCATGATGATTTATCACCAACAGGGGGAGTAAAAGGACAGATTCAGGTATCAGCTTCACAGCCTGTATCCTGACTGTTTCACTGGACTTCAGACGGACTGCTGTGATTGGCTGGTTTGGTTCAGGCTTGGGTTTGGTGTGGTTACAGTTACCGTCAAACATCAAGGACTGTCGCCACTCCAGTAACATCATTTAGCAGCAATTTCCCATCTATTTTATCTCAAGAAATGAGACAAAACAAGCGTAGAAAGAGTTGAAAACCATTCCTGTGGTGCTTCACACAGATGGGGTTTTGAGTGAACAGCACACATGGTGTTAGAGCAGTGTGTTGATGGTTATTGTGGACTCATTACAGACAGAGATGGCAAAAGTAAACACAGCCTTTACTCAAGTAGAAGTACTGACTAAAGTTATTTACTCAAGTAAAAGTAAAAAGTCTTCAGAAAAACAAGTAGTGGAGTAAAGTACTGATACCAGAAAAATGTACTTAAGTAGTAACGAAGTATTTGTACTCCACTACTTCCCACCTGTGATTACAGACCTATCTGTGGAGGTTTGAGAAGAGCTGCTGTTCACTTTGTGTAGCTGATTGGGAGTATTTGAAGTCTATATATTGTAAGTGCCATGAAAAGCAGTTTAATGGTTAAAGTACCATTGTGTAGGATTTAAAGGAACCTATTGGCAAACCTGAATATACAGTTCATAATGATGAAATGATTTACCAGGAATATTCACATTTATATTCAACCAGACTTTGTGTTTTAGTTGCCTAACTTCGACCCTGATTCCTGGAAGAAGAAGAGCATGAAATCAGTTTGAGTAGCAACGTTTTTTTTTATGAATTTCAATAACATCTGGATTATGACGTGGTTTACATATTACATACCGTCTGGTGTACAGCTGTTGTTTATTCAAATGAAGCAACAAAAAAATTGTTCCTTCCTGGGAACATATTCCTTAACACAATGCAAGATATTCACCACGATATTTAAATGTTTTTTTTAACTTACAGGAAGCCTTTTCAGGTGGATTTCAGCATTGTTGATAATAGCAGTTGAGGCTTGTAAATGTCCCACTTCTTATCAAAAACTGAATAATAAATGTTGTATTTCCTTCCTACTCAATTCTTACCTTCCTCAAGGACTCCCTCTTATGTTGTTGAGGTTTTTCCCTTCCTGTAGTTTGTTTTGTAGGTTTAAGTGCATGTAAATGGTCTGCAAAGGCTAAAATCCCAAAGGAGTTTCTCCCCCCCTTTCCTGAAACGCCTCCATTGGACTCCTCTGTTATGTAACTTCTGATTTTTCAGTGTGTATTCCAACAGGTTGCCCGAGAAATATTCTCCTTACTACATTTTCTACAGTAATATCTGTTTGCTTTGTCTTTCCTGGGACATTTTCACGAATGACATTCCCCCTGCCTCCATTGGACTCCTTTGTTTACGCCCGGAACATAGTGACATCAGTATGTAACACTCACGCTTCTATTGGCTAGTGCTCCAACACATTGTACGTGATAGGTTAAGGGGTGGGACTTCTCTATGTGGTTGACCAATCACAACAGAGCCGGCCAGCTAACCAATCAGAGCAGACTGGGCTCTGGTTTCAGACAGAGGGTGAAAAGAGGTGCTGCAGCACAGGCAGTATGAGAACAATAAAGAGCTTTTTGAACATTAAAGCATGGAGACATATAGAGACACTACATACTGATATACACCTGAACATCAGCAGGAGAGGACTCTTTAAAGTAGAGACACTACATACTGATACACACCTGAACATCAGCAGGAGAGGACTCTTTAAAGTAGAGACACTATACTGATATACACCTGAACATCAGCAGGAGAGGACTCTTTAAAGTAGAGACACTACATACTGATATACACCTGAACATCAGCAGGAGAGGACTCTTTAAAGTAGAGACACTACATGCTGATATACACCTGAACATCAGCAGGAGAGGACTCTTTAAAGTAGAGACACTACATACTGATATACACCTGAACATCAGCAGGAGAGGACTCTTTAAAGTAGAGACACTACATACTGATATACACCTGAACATCAGCAGGAGAGGACTCTTTAAAGTAGAGACACTACATACTGATATACACCTGAACATCAGCAGGAGAGGACTCTTTAAAGTAGAGACACTACATACTGATATACACCTGAACATCAGCAGGAGAGGACTCTTTAAAGTAGAGACACTACATACTGATATACACCTGAACATCAGCAGGAGAGGACTCTTTAAAGTAAAAAAAACTTATGTAATAACTTTAGATTGCCCATGTCTCGAGAAGCTACCCGACGAATTTCGAGCCGTACGGATAAAGTCCCTAGGAGAAGATAGATTTCGTACGGAGGACGAAAAACGCGATAAATCGCGTTTTTCCGACACAAAATTCAAATTGGCCGACTTCCTGTACGTTATTTTATACCCCTCCAAGAGGCTTTTTGGTTCGTCTCCGCACCCTAGATATGCGTAGCGAGTTTCGTTCGTTTACGTGAAAGTTAAAGTAGGGGGAGTTTACGTTAAAAACGGAAGTGGGCGTGGCCTACGCAATTTTTGACGCAAAGTTCCGGAACCAATTACATATTTCAAGTTGCCACACTTCTGACGCACGTGCAACATTTGGTGAGTTTTCACATATGTTGCGGGGGTCAAAAGTGCGTTCCAAAAGTTCAAATAATAATCATAACAAATAATCGGTCCGATCTCAATAATGTGCTATTTAACATGGAGGTGGGCTACGCCCACCTCACTGTAGTCGCATGGGCTACCTACTGCCATGATTTAGGCCACTTTTAATGGGCTTTTGCCGGTCGTTTTCCCTGTTTTTGGGTGTTTTTCGCAGGTTTATCGGTCGCTGCGCGACCGATTTCAATAGGGTCTTCGCCGACCTAGGTCTCAGACCCTAATAATCAATTCAAGAATATAAATACTATATTATTTTATTATAATATAGTTGTAATATAGTCAAGACAAAACATGCTTATGACATGCTCAAAAACTGATATTTTTTAAATCTGTATTGAAATGTAGTTCCCTCTGTCAGCAATGTATCAACAACTACACACACATTTCTATACTTCTCTGTGTTGTGGTTGACATGATGATGACTGTTAGGAGTTAAGGGGAGAGGCTGAGCATCACCATGAAATGTGCAAATTGACATACAAATGAATAAAAGGGGAAAAAATGCCCCATGTTTTTTAGGCTGTAAACTTTAACTGTTATGTAAGCCAACTAGACAGACAGTGTGTCTCTCTTCCTCCTGTACATTAGCAGATAAAAGGCATCACATACTTGAATGAATGGTAAATAAAGAATGCTGGAAATAACTGCATCTCCATAGCCTACATGCTATGCAGAGACTGCCTTCTTCATGTCGTGAATTGCAGCTGATGTTTTAATATGGCAATTGGCAAAAGTTTGCGCTGATAACTGCGCACGAGGCCCCATCAACGGCCTGTAGGGAGGGACGGCCCTGAGAATAGGCCCCTTTAATTCTTTTCACTTACAGGAAGCCTTTCCAGGT